CCGCAGAAAACAATATGAAGTTCAATGATGAAAAATTTCATTTACTCCGATATGGAAAAAGTGAAATTAAAACTGTATCGGAGTATAAAACAAATTCCAACTATTATATATATATTATATATTATATTAATAAAAATATATATGTATAATATATATATTATATATATATATAATATTGCAATAAGATCACAGTAAAAAAGTGATTTCAAAATATCCCAAAACAACCACTCTGAAAGAATAGAGAAATTCCAAGCGCTTTCGTGAGTATCACGAAAGCGTTTGGGAATTTCTCTATTCTTTCAGAGTGGTTGTTTTGCATATAAAATATATATATATATATATATATATATATATATATATATATATATATATTATATATATATATATATATATATATATATATATATATATATATAATATCTTTATTTTATTACAATACATGTACAAGGTATACAGGTCTAGCTGACAACAATGACATACTAAAGAAATCGTAATGACACGATTGCAAACAAACCATACCACGGTCTGGAGTTTTGAGACTCTCTGACCGCGGGTTCAAATCCCACCCGTGGTATGGTTTTAATGACATACTACTATATAGAAAGTCCCTTGTTATGCTCCGCATGTCGGGCAAATTAGGTCAGTGTCCCAGGATGCGACCCACACCAGTCCACTAACACCCAGGTACTCATTTTACTGATGGGGAACATAGACAACAGGTGGAAAGAAACACGCCCAATGTTTCTACTCTGGCTGGGAATCGAACCCGGACCCTCGCCGTGTGAAGCGAGAGCGTTTGCTAAATAATAATTTGTTTAAAGATGATAAAAAATAAAATACCCGCAAACAACCGTTATCTGACACAGGAAAAATATTCTACTTCGTAAAAGTGTGGAGGAAAAGAAGTCACAGTTATTGAAGCAGCAGTTAGTATTTTAAGCGAGCCACTGCAGCTATTACTGGTGAGTCTCCCAGGTGAGCCATCACTACTGCACGTCATTGATGCTGGGTCAGTGATCGTTCTCGTGATCATCCTCATGTAATATACAATATGCTAGCATGAAGAAGGAAGAATTGAAAGCTAGATTATTGTAATAGTAAAGAATTGAACTCGCACGGGGAGACGCTTCAGACGCAAGAATATATAATGTTCCTCACAGGACTGTACAGTTGTACTGCCTGGCCCTCATCTCTTTAATATCATCAAGAATCTTAAATATTACAATACATAAATAACCCGCACATAGGAGAATGTAACTGTGACAGTTTATGACGAAACGTAATAATAATAATAATAATAATAATAATAATAATTATTATTATTTCTACAAGTACATGTACAAGGTATACAGGTCTAGCACATGATGACACTCTTCAGGTCGCTTGTTCTATCTAGACTCGAATATTGCTGCACACTAACACCACCTTTCAAGGCAGGTGAAATTGCTGACCTAGAAAATGTGGAGAGACCCTTCACAGCGCGCATAACTGCTATAAAACCTAAATTACTGGGAACACTTGAAGTTCCTCAACCTGTACTCCCTAGAATGCAGGCGGGAGAGATACATGATTATATACACTTGCAAAATCCTAGAGTGATTAGTAACAAACTTGCATGCAGAAATCACTCCTTATGAAAGCAAAAGACTCGGCAGACGATGCAACAATTCCCCCAGTGAAAAGCAGGGGTGCCACTAGTACGATAAGAGACAACACAATAAGTGTCAGGGACCCAAGACTGTTCAGCTGCCTCCCAGCATACACAAGGGGTATTACCAATAGACCCCTGGCTGTCTTCAAGAGGGCACTGGACAGGCACTTAAAGTCAGTACCTGACCAACCAGGCTGTGGTTCGTACGTTGGATTGCTTGCGGCCAGCAGTAACAGCCTGGTTGATCAGGCCCTGATCCACCATGAGGCCTGGTCACAGACCGGGCCACGGGGGCGTTGGCTCCCGGAACTCTCTCCAGGTATGGTAGCTGACATCAGTGACATACTACTATATAGAAAGCCGCTTGTTATACTTGTAAAGGGTTTCGGGGGGTCAGCGCCCCCGTGGCCTAGCAAATTGGGCCACTTTTGTCCCAGGTTGCGACCCACACCCGTCGACTAACATCCAAGTACCTATTTTACTGATGGGAACAGGGACAACAAATGTCTTAATGAAACACGTCATAACGTTCCCACCCCTACCGGGGATCGAACCACGGAGCTCAAAGTATGAGCTGTGTGCGCTACCAACCGAGCTACGGGACACCATAAACTGTGACAACTTAGACGAAACGTCATAAGTTGTTTCACCTCCTGACATCAACAATATATACCCTCTGTGTCCTTTGTATTGGGTTGACAAGGCTTCTGGAGAGCGAAAAGTTGCCACAACCGAATATCACATTTCCCAATGGAAAATCACTTTGTTCGACTTTTTTTTTTTTTTTTGGGGGGGGGGGTATCGTAGGTAATTTACCCATAAGTTACTGTGTATGATAATTGTACTTATATGTACCTGTATCTAAAGAGTTTCTTAGTTACATGATGGCTTGGACTGGTAGGTCTGTTGCATTCCTCCTTCCTTCTTAAGTGGATGTGACTTGGACCTGAACAGCTAAGAACAGTAGGTGACTTGAGCCTGCCTAGCATGGGCCAGTAGGCGACTTGGACCTGACTAGGTTAGGCCAGTAGATGACTTGGGCCTGACTAGCTATGGGAAGTAGGTGACTTGAACCTGCCTAGCATGGGCCAGTAGGCGACTTGGACCTGACTAGGTTAGGCCAGTAGATGACTTGGACCTGACTAGCTATGGACAGTAGGTGACTTGAACCTGCCTAGCATGGACGAGGTGACCTGGGCCTGTCTAGCGTGGGCTAGTAGGTGACACCTATGGACCTGACTAAATTAGGTCAGTAGGTGACTTAGATCTGACTAGCTTAGGCCAGTAGATGACTTGGACCTGACAAGCTAAGGGCAGTAGGTGACTTGAGCCTGCCTAGCATGGGTCAGTAGGTGACTTGAACCTGCCTAGCATGGGCGAGGTGACCTGGGCCTGCCTAGCATGGGCTAGTAGGTGACACCTATGGACCTGACTAGATTAGATCAGTAGGTGACTTGGACCTAACTAGCTTAGGCCAGTAGGTAACTTGGACCTGCCTAGCATGGGCCAGTAGGTGACTAGGCCAGTAGGTGACTTAGACCTGACTAGCTTAGGCCAATGGATCACTTGGACCTGACTAACTAAGGGCAGTAGGTGACTTGAACCTGCCTAGCATGGGCGAGGTGGCCTGGGCCTGCCTAGCATGGGCTAATAGGTTACACCTATGGTCCTGACTAGATTAGGCCAGAAGGTGACTTGGACCTGCCTAGCATGGGCCAGTAGGTGACTTGGACCTGACTAGCTTAGGCCAGTAGGTGACCTGGACCTGACTAGCTTAGGCCAGTAGGTGACTTGGACCTGACTAGTTTAGGCCAGTAAGTGACTTGGACCTGACTAGTTTAGGCCAGTAGGTGACTTGGACCTGACTAGCTTAGGCCAGTAGGTGACTTGGACCTGACTAGCTTAGGCAAGTAGGTGACCTGAACCTGACTAGCTTAGGCCAGTAGGTGACTTGGACCTGACTAGTTTAGGCCAGTAAGTGACTTGGACCTGACTAGGCCAGTAGGTGACTTGGACCTGATTAGCTTAGGCCAGTAGGTGACTTGGACCTGACTAGCTTAGGCCAGTAGGTGACTTGGACCTGACTAGCATGGGCCAGTAGGTGACTTGGACCTGACTAGCATGGGCCAGTAGGTGACTTGGACCTGACTAGCATGGGCCAGTAGGTGACTTGGACCTGACTAGCTTAGGCCAGTAGGTGACTTGGACCTGACTAGCTTAGGCCAGTAGGTGACTTGGACCTGACTAGCTTAGGCCAGTAGGTGACTTGGACCTGACTAGCATGGGCCAGTAGGTGACTTGGACCTGACTAGCATGGGCCAGTAGGTGACTTGGACCTGACTAGCATGGGCCAGTAGGTGACTTGGACCTGACTAGCTTAGGCCAGTAGGTGACTTGGACCTGACTAGCTTAGGCCAGTAGGTGACTTGGACCTGCCTAGTAGGTCTGCTGCGGTGCTCCTTCGTTCTTATGTACTCACCTATTGACATAAGAACATACTAAAGAAGGAACACTGCAACAGCAGGCCTACTAGACCATGCTACTGGCAGGGGTCGAGTCACAGCTCCTGGGCCCGCCTCTTCACTGGTCGCTACAAGCTCCACTCTCTCCCTGCTTCATCAGCTTTATCGTACCTCATCGTTAGCTTTATATTATGTTCTTACTACTGTTATAGAGGGTGGAAGACTGAGGGAGTTTTCAAATCATATTTCATGTCTTTCACCAAGTTTCGCCCATAAATAACAATTCCCAAGTCTTCCACATATTTATTATAACATATTATTATTATTATTAATATTTTAATATTGCAGTGAGTAATTTAGACATGCGTATCAGTGCACTAAAGGAAGAATAAGTGTATAATTATTGTAAAATAAGATATAAATAAAGAGAAAATATGGTTGTGGATGTCTTGTTGGTCGTAGCAGCTTGAGCCACACACGCCTCCTCCACAATATTACCCACATTTAACGCTTATTTCACCGCTTTTTAACGTCTTTCATCTACCGGTGAGCGAGGAAGGTGTGAAATAATATCGTGAGGAGGCCAGTGGAGGCAGAAACACTCGAAAGTGAGAAGGAAAAGCAATATTATGAGAGGTTGGGGGGGATTTTTTCGAAATGGCGCGCACTAGTGTATATTTTTTTTTATATATATATTGTTTACACTAAGTTTGGTGGTTTATCTGTGTACTGGAGGAACTGTAGGTCCTGTGGCACTGTTGTGGCGTTCTCCTGCCCTGAGTCATCCCTGGGGAATTACCCTGTGGTGTAATCTTTGAGCTGGTGTAAGCTGGTGTAAGCTGGTGTGAGCTTGAGTAGTGTGTTGCACCACATTGATCAACCTTGTTGATAAACATTATGAGGGAGGTGTGAGCAGCTCACTACACCTGCTGCTGCTGACACCACCACAACCACGTCTCATAATCTATGCTCAAGAAGCTTAGTCTTTAGACTCGAGAAGCTTAGTCTTTAAACACAAAAAGCTTCGTCTTTAGACAAGAAGCTTAGTCTTGAGACACAAGAAGCTTAGTCTTTATACTTTGGACTCGAAAAGCTTAGTCTTTGGGCAAAGCTAACAGTCTGATATTATATTACGCACAAGCTCAAGCTTGAGTCTTGTCTTAGGGGTGCAGCTTAAGCTTAAAACTTTATTTTGTGTGTTCATATTCTCATAGTTTGGCCTAGCAAGAAATAAGGACAAATAGTTTTGAAAGTTTGGACAGGTATTGTAACTAGTAACTAGAATTTTTGTTATATCCTAGTTTATAAGCACATTATGATAATTACTTGTAATAATAATTATAAGTATCTGCTTACTGCTGAGTGAAGAGAAGCAGCATGTTTCCTTACACCTGCTATCCTTGTTCACCTAGCAGTAAGTAGGTACCTGGGTGTTAGTGGACTGGTGTGGGTGGCATCCTGGGAAACAAGATTGAAGGATCACAATGGAAATAAAACAGTCCTCGATGATGGAAACATAAACGCATATGCAGTTTAATGTGATCCTTTATTGACAACGTTTCGCCCACACAGTGGGCTTTTTCAAGTCACACACAGATCTACCTGGGGTGGAAGGTAGATCTGTGTGTGACTTGAAAAAGCCCACTGTGTGGGCGAAACCTTGTCAATAAAGGATCACATTAAACTGTAAATGTGTTTGTTTCCATTGTGTCGGTATTTTATACCTTTTATTTTCAGTCCTCGATGATGCTGACATTCTTGGGTTATCCTGGGTGCTAACCTTCGCGTTAAAAAATTAAACAAATTTTTTTTAATTAGGGAGAAGGTTTAAAGGCTCGATGATGCAAAAACTTAGTTACCCGGGTTGAAATCCAAACAAACTTTTTTCATTATAAGACATGAACCCCCAAACTCTGTGTTCTGCGTGCCTGATAAAAGGGTTTGGGGAAATAAGTGATTCAAGAAATGGAAGATATTTCCCAAATTCCCTTGGATCAAGCGCTCTTCGTTGCATCAAGGAATCCCCCTTGCAAGGAAAGGTTTTGTAAAAGGTATAAAATCCCGACAATATGAAAGTTAAAAACCATGTGCACATCTGGAATCTTTATTTAGACGTTTCGATCCTGGTTTATAATACGATTTGGCAAAAATGGAAGGGGACGTAGAATATTACAAAAATGAGGTAATCAGTCCCTCGGTTGGAGTTGTTTTCACAGCATCGTGGGGAGGAAATCTGGAGAAAAAGGCAAAAGACGGGTTTATATGGCGTCAGTGGAAGGGGGGGCGCAGACGGGGCGTCACTGGTAGGGGGATTCCCCTGGAGAAAGGCCCTTCCCCAAAAGGTGGGTTAGTTGCGCACCGTAAAAGGTTTTTGTAGATGTCCTCTGAACCAAGTTTCGTTTGATAAAGCCATGGATGGCGAAACGTCTACATAAAGATACCCAGAGTTCCCAAGGTTTTAAACTTTCAAGGAACGGGTTTTAATGACTCGACTGCAATTCTATTCCCGCCCGGGGTAGGGTTTTTTGAAATGTGTCATATTTTCATGGTAGTACTTAAATATTTGTAAAGGGGGGCTGGGGCCTGGTTTTTAAAAGTTCGCTTCCCCCTGGGGGTCCGTGGATAATCCCCGGGCGGGGGGGGAAATGTTGGGGGTTTCCTTCCCTTTGCCCCCTGTTCACCATTGGTAAAGGGGTCCTGGGTGTTAGTCGAGGGTGTGGGTACATCCTTGGAAAAAATTGACTAATTTCCCCAAAATGCTCTGATAACCGGGGTTTTTTCTTATACGTAGAAATATTCATTGGTGTCAGCTAGCCTGATCCCTTGAAATGTATTTGTAGAAATAGATATAGAAGGGCCCCCTTGTTATGCGAGCAACCCAAGGGAAAAAATGATCAATTTGCCTGAAATTTTTGCTAACAAGCGTTTTTAAATTAGTAGTACCTGGTCCCTTGACTTCGGTGCCCCCAATTCTTTTTTCTGATTCGAGCTGTTGCTCGGTGATTTTTTGTTTTGGTTGCAACCCCAAAAATCGGGTTACGAGAAGCTTAGATAGCCCCCAAAATTGGCGGCGTATCTAAAGTCAAATCCAATTGTCCCCAGGGAAGTCAGGTACTTTTTCCCATCCCAATGTTTCAAGACAAACGGGAAGGATAATACCCCCATAATCCAATTTTTGCGGGCACTCGTCCCTTGTTGATTTATAAAAATTGGGGGAAGGGGGAAAACCCCATTTCAACACTGGGTTTTCCCCGAAACTTTAAAGGAAGCCCCCTGATTTTACCTGCCTCACGGGGGTTTCCTTCGTGGGGGGGTATGGTAGGGGTGGGGGGTATAGTGAGGGTGGGGGTGGGGTGTAAAGGGGTCGAGAGTATGATAGGGGTGGAGGTATGATAGTGGGGGGTGGGGTAGAGATATGGTGGGGGGGGTAGTGAGGGGGGTGGGTGGAGTCTGAAGGGGGGGTGGGTGAGTAGAGATGGTGGTGGGTGGAGTGTGAAGGGTGGGGGTTTGGAGTAGTGAAAATGGTAGGTGGAGTAAGTGATGGGGGTGTGGAGTAATGAAGGTGGTTTTTTTTAAAAGCCCAAAAAAAAAGATTAGGGTGTTTTTTGGGGGGGTTGGGAATGGTTTTTGGCATTCCGTTTAATTTTCGTGAGGAAAAATGTTTTGTTTGTCGAAAAATTTGATTTAGGGAGTTGGTATAGAAAAATTTAAAAACTCGGTAAAGGTCCCACTGTATGCATTAATGTGGCTTCCTGTATACCTTGTAATGTACTTGTAGAATAAAGATATTTTTTTTATTGTTCAGAGGGTAATATTTTTTTTTACTTTTCCTTTTCTTTAAAACTTTAACCTTTTTAACCCACCCCAGGTAATACCTAGATTTAATGCATTTTGCTAATGAACAGAGGCAGAATTAGGATGTTGCCCAGTCCCTGCTTGGCTTTTGAACCGGGGGATTTTTCAATTGCGTGAACCTTAAAAATCTATAAATTTCTTGCTTTTTTATTTGCATTTTTTAATGCTTTTAGGTACTGATATTTACGGGGTTCTAAAACCCAGAACTTAGATGTTTGCTTAACTAATTTTTAAAAGTAAGATCAAATGTGGTTTAAAAATTACACCCTTTCCCCCCTTTCGAGTACTCTTTTGTACCGAGACCGGATTACAAAGGGGTGTTGCCCAGTTAATACCTAAATAATGTATTTTTTTTATTTCACACTGGGTAAATTTCCCCCAGGCAGGGGGGCCCCAAAAAGAAAAACTTTCACCTTTTTAAACCCCTCATTCTTGCAAAAAGGGTGCTTTACCTACAGTTTTTAAACTGCAACATTAACCCCCCTTTAGGGCAGGCATGATTCCCCTCTCCCGGATCAAGTCCCGGCTGTGGTTCCTGAACCCCTTCATAAAAGTTACTTTGCTACCCCAACAGCAGTCAAGTATAAAAACCATTTGTCTATTCACTCTTACAAACACCCCAGCTGCCGGTGGGAAATCAACCCGCAAACAAAACCCCCTTTACCCCCCCCCTCCAACCTTTCCTGCCGACCCCTACCCCCCCTTCCTTCCCCTACAGACTGTTTAAATCTTTAAAATCATTGTTTCGCTCCATTCCCTTACATGTCGAAAACCCCCTCAAAAACCCTTTTTCGCCCCTTTGGCAAAAGTTTTGGTAAACCTGCACCTCCTCCCAATTCCAAAAATGAATTCTTGCATTTTTCCACCACACATTGCCCCCAGACTACATCTCCACTGCCCCCCCTTCTCCCCGCGCAAAATTCATCACCCTGCTTCACACCCCTATAAGAGGTTGGAGAACTTTTCCCAACATTTCCCTTTTTCCCCAAGGGCAAAGTTCTTTGTTTCCCAGACCCCTAAGTGCACCCCTCCCCTTTTCCCCCCATCAATTCTTATTACCTCATCTTTATAGACCATCCCCTGAACGTCCCCTCCCAAATATCGTACATTTTTACCTCCTCTAACTCTTCCTCCAATTGAACAATCTTTCTCACCTAATCTTTTTGTTATCCTCTAACCTTACTTTTCCTGTTTTACTTTTAATTTTCTCTTTTTTCACATCTTACAAATTTCCCCCCAAACTCTGCAATTCCCTTTAGAATTCCCGAGCACAGTGTCATCAGCGAAGAGCCACTGGGACAACTCCCACTTTGTGTGATTCTTTATCTTTTAACTCCACGCTCTTGCCAAGACCCTCGCATTTACTTCTCTTACAAAACCCCCTCTATAAATATATTAAACAACCATGGTGACATCACACATCCTTGTCTAAGGCCTACTTTTACTGGGAAATAATTTCCCTCTTTCCTACATACTCTAACTTGAGCCTCACTATCCTTGTAAAATCTCTTCACTGCTTTCAGTAACCTACTCCTACACCATACACCCGCAACATCTGCCACATTGCCCCCTATCCACCCTGTCATACGCCTTTTCCAAATCCATAATGCCACAAAGACCTCTTTAGCCTTATCTAAATACTGTTCACTTATATGTTTCACTGTAAACACCTGGTCCCCACACCCCCTACCTTTCCTAAAGCCTCCTTGTTCATCTGCTATCCTATTCTCCGTCTTACTCTTAATTCTTTCAATAATAACTCTACCATACACTTTACCAGGTATACTCAACAGACTTATCCCCTATAATTTTTGCACTCTCTTTTGTCCCCTTTGCCTTTATACAAAGGAACTATGCATGCTCTCTGCCAATCCCTAGGCACCTTACCCCCTTCCATACATTTATTAAATAATTGCACCAACCACTCCAAAACTATATCCCCACCTGCTTTTAACATTCTATCTTTATCCATCAATCCGGCTGCCTTACCCCCTTTCATTTTACCTACTGCCTCACGAACTTCCCCACACCACAAATGGCTCTTCCCACTCCTACAAGATGTTATTCCTCCTTGCCCTATACACGAAATCACAGCTTCCCTATCTTCATCAACATTTAACAATTCCTCAAAATATTCCTTTCATCTTCCCAATACCTCTAACTCTCCATTTAATAACTCTCCTCTCCTATTTTTACCTGACAAATCCATTTGTTCTCTAGGCTTCCTTAACTTGTTAATCTCACTCCAAAACTTTTTCTTATTTTCAACAAAATCTTGTAGGAGTGAGGAAGAGCCAGCTGTGAGTGTGGGAGAAGTTCGTGAGGCAGTAGGTAAAATGAAAGGGGGTAAGGCAGCCGGGATTGATGGGATAAATAATGTATGTACGTATATTAGAGCTGATTTCCTCTATTCTGTTTATTACAATATACGATACACTACTGTGTAAACATTTAAAAATATACTTAAAATATTATAACTGGTGCAAGGGTGACATTAAAGCAGTATCAGAGATGGTTGACATAAACTCGCTACCATTATAGTATGCTCCTCGTTTATCGACGAATTCGTTTATCGACGCGGTATTAGGAGCGGAACTCTGTTGTTAGTGAGGAGAGGCTGTAAATGCAATGCTTAATATAATAGTAACGTTACAGTAAAGTAAATAAAATTCTTTTAGAGGTAGGTGTGTTGCAAACAAGTGTAACTTTACATAACCTAACAAAATTTTCATAAATTTGGAATTTTATTATGTTTTTTCAAAGGATGTAGCTGTGGTAATAGATATTGAAAATGCAATATGTAACTTATACTGTGTATACTATGCACATGGATTACGCATGTGTATATTATTAAATTTGGGTATTATATTAAACTGTAGCATATCAAATTATCAATAATCAACATATAACTGTTAATAATTTTACAGTATATTGTGTCTGATAAATCCAATCATTTTCATATAGTACTTTTTATACTACTTATATAACTATGTTACAGAGCAGTGATTGTCCACGTACATATAGTCATAGTGTATTTTTAAATTATTGAAGTTGGTCAAAAAGTTTTAAGCTTTTCACAAGTACATGTCAGCATTTCTATTAATTTATCCATACTGTACTTTCAGACTCTTTTTGTTGACAACCTGTCAGGCAGCTCAGTGATTTTCATCATACATCAAAGAAGCTTTATTCTACACTTAGAGTAAGCCTTACTTGTTATTATTGCTTGCTCACCCTGATTGCTATTGCTTACAGAGAGAGAGATACAATACCTGTCACATACCTGTGACTGGTTATGAGGATTCTTTTGCCCTCTCAGATTAGCCTTAGTCCAGGTGTTCTTGTTAATGGCCTGTTCAGTTAAGCTGTTGGTGTTGATAACCTGCTGGCCCACATAACTTTCATTACCTGGTTAATTTGGCAATTCCTGGAGAGAATTTTACAGCTTCCTCTTGAAAACTACACAGGAAATTTTCTATATATTTGGGCACTAGTCTGAAGCAGTAGGATTAATCAGAATGTGGGCAGCAGCTGTTGAAAAGCTCAGCAGTATATGGTAGATTCGGCCTTAATGCCTTGTGTATTTTTTCTTCAATAAAGAATGCTTTGTGATGTTTTATAACTGTTTGGAAAGTTTTAAATGGTTTTAGTAGGTCTTATTTAGGGATTTTCTTGCAGTTTTTGATTAATCATTTAAAAATTATACTGTATTTAATTTCCTCTGGGAAATGAAAAGTTGCTGGTTCTGAAGAATCATTTTTGCTTTGGCCATCACTTAGAAGGTTGCAAGTTTATATCAACTCCATCTTCTGACTGCATTCAATTTCTATAATTTCATATTTTATAAAAACCAGTAAGGTGCTGTATTTTGAATTGTCCTTACTATATAAAATTAAATGTTAATGAAAAGCAACACAATTACAGTGAACCCCTGGCATACGATGGCATCGGCATACGTTAAATCTGGCATATGATACATTTTAATGCAAAAATTTTGCCTCGCCACACGTTAAAAAACCCACCACACAGATTCGTCTGGGACCCGTCCCATGTGTGTCCTCAGCTGCCCCGTGCGTGCCAGTGTTTACAAGCCAGCCAGTGCGGTCGCATCCACGCATACAATCGGTACATTTCATATTATCACAGCGTTTTTAGTGATTGTACCTGCAAAATAAGTCACCATGGGCCCCAAGAAAGCTTCTAGTGCCAACCGTGCAGTAAAAAAGGTGAAAATTACTATGGAAATGAAGAAAGAGATAAGTGCTAAGTACAAAAGTGGAGTGCGTGTCTCGGAGCTGGCCATGTTGTATACCAAACTCCAATCAACCATTGCTACTATTGTGACCAACAAAACGGCAATCAGGGAAGCTGGTTTTGCAAAAGGTGCAAGTTTGTTTTTGAAACAGAGATCGCAAGTACTCGATGTTGAGAGACTGTTATTGGTGTGGATAAACGAAAAACAGATAGCAGGAGATACCATCTCTTAAGCGATCATATGCAAAAAGGGTGGGAAATACGTACTATCGTACCACGGTCAGCTGTTGCTGCACCACTGTCAGCTGTTGCTGCACCAGTCAGCTGCTGCTGCACCACCGTCAACTGTTGCTGCACCACGGTCAGCTGTTGCTGCACCAGTCAGCTGTTGCTGAACCACGGTGAGCTGCTGTTGCACCATGGTCAGCTGCTGCTGCACCACAGTCAGCTGCTGCTGCACCACAGTCAGCTGCTGCTACACCACCATCATCTGTTGCTGCACAACATTCAGCTATTGCTGCACAATGGTCAGCTGTTGCTGCACCAGTCAGCTGTTGCTGAACCACGGTGAGCTGCTGTTGCACCACAGTCAGCTGCTACTGCACCACAGTCAGCTGCTACTACACCACCGTCATCTGTTGCTGCACCACGGTCTGCTGCTGCTGCACCAAAGTCAGCTGTTGCTGCACCACGGTCAGCTGGTCCTAGTGGCATTAAAAGAAGAAGAGAAGTAACCCCGGAAAAGAACGTGCTACCTAAAGTCCTAATGGAAGGGGATTCCCCTTCTAAACATTAACAACTTCCACACTCTCCCCTCCTCCCATCCCATCAATCATCATCAGATCTTCAATAAAGGTGTCAGTTTGTGTGTATTAAAATAAATATTTCATGTGGTAAAAATTTTTTTTTTCATACTTTGTGGTGTCTTGCACGGATTAATTTGATTTCCATTATTTCTTATGGGGAAAATTAATTCGCCTTACAATAATTTCGGCATACGATGAGCTCTCAGGAACAGATTAATATCGTATGCCGGGGGTCCACTGTAGTTGTCTTCATGGAAATAATGGCTGTTAAATTTAGATTGTGTTTTGAAAAAAAAAATGGTGTGTTATTTATTGACAGGCTTTTGAGAAGATTAAATTATTTTTTTATCTGAATGAAAAATCCAATAATTTTTTTCTGTTAAGAATGGTTACATTCATTCTTTTATGTAGCGGTTAGAAAAATGTTTACCCATTTTATGAATGCAGTATGATAATTCTGTAATAATTTGATAATCCTGTACAGTACTTAACCCTTTGACTGTCAGTGTCGTGTATATATATATATATGTCTTAGGTGCCCGTGTTTTTGACATATTAATACGCCAAAATTCTAGCGGCTTCAAATTAAGCGGGAGAAAGCTGGCAGTCCAACATGTGAGAGAGTGGGTCTGTGTGGTCAGTGTGTGCAGTATAAAAAATTCTGTAGCGCACAGTGCATAATGAGAAAAAAAAACTACTGCTGTGTTTTTGGATTAAAGCGCCGACTTTGAGGTGTATTTTCGTACGGTATTTATGATTGTATTCTCGTTTTCTTGGTCTAATTTGATAGAAGGGAAGATATATGACAGAAAAAGAGATGATTTTGATTGGTTTCACAATGAAAAGGACCTTCAAATTGACCTTAAAGTAGTGGAAATATTTGATTTTTGCCAATGTTCAAAAGTAAACAAATGACGTCACTGTCCAATACGTGTCCAACTGGCCGGTCTAATATGCAGTCACAAATGGGTTGACATTATTTATACAGTTATTACAATAATGCAGTAGTCTGCATAACAGTAAATCTTCTATTGTTTTGTGTGAATAAAAATTTAAAATAGAAAGCAAGAGTAATATAAGAGGGGCCTGGAGACATGACTAATGAACAGAGAAAATGGTATTTTAGTGTCAGGAATGTCTGCATTGTTTATTCTGGACCCTATTTTGAATTGGCAACTTTTTTAATTTGCGTGAAATTGGCCAAATTGCCAGTTTCCGACCACTATTGGGTAGTTGAAATCTGTAAATGGGAGGTTTCTTGTACTCAGTGATAGAACAAATGGAGTTCTAAAGAAATAGCTATGATTTGGTGACTGGAACAATGGAATTGGCTGAAACTAGGGCTCAAAGTGGGTGAAATCGCCAATGCATATATCTCTCTGAGATTCATATTTTTGGTGTTATTACCATCGGGAAAAGATTCTCTATCATTTCATAAGAAATAATTTTTTTTTTTTTTTTTCGAATATTTTGCGACACAGAGACACTTCAGGATTTGGGGTCTCGACAGTCAAAGGGTTAATTAAAAGCAGATTAAAAGCTATAAAAGACTTGTTTAGGTTAAAAGCGCATATATTTTAGTCCTGTTACTGATGTGCCAACTTTGCACATGGATACAAAAGTGAACCAAGCATGAAGAGATGGTACAGTTTTAGAATGGTCATTCCAAATTTTATGTCTTCAGGTTAAAAGTTAGCTTAAAATTTATTGCCATTTTGAAAATAGTTTGTTTTTCTGATCTTTATTGCTTAGTTCATTGCTATACATTATGTTTGAAAAATGCATGAGCATAGGAACTAATGGATATTTGTTCTATTTTCTGATTTAAGTTTGACAAATATGTCTTAAGGTTTCTACAGGTCCTGTATGTCCTTCTTGTAAACTAGTTTTGTATTTTATTTTGGTCTCTTCTGGCTCACTGAATTTATTTATACCTAGAAGCGTGTTAGATGGGAGTGAGTGGAGATGAATGGTATTTGGGACCTGATGAGCTGTTGGAGTGTGAGCAGGGTAATATTTAGTGAAGGGATTCAGGGAAGCCGGTTATTTTTATATAGCCGAACTTGAGTTCTGGAAATGGGAAGTACAGTGCCTTTAACCCTTTGAGGGTCTGTCCCTTAGATCTACGGCTTTACGTTCAGGGTCCAAACCGTAGATCTACGTCATGAGCTCAGCTCACTCTGATAAACTGTGAGTGGTACATTTGGGCCTAGATGTGAGAGAATACATCTATGTGGAATGTGTGCACCACATAAAACAGATCCTGCAGCACGCTGTGTATAATGAGAGAAAAAAACTGAAATCATGATTTTTTGATTAAAACAGCGACTTTGCAGTGTTTTTTCGTATGTTTTTTATAGTTCTATTTGAGATTTCTTGGTCTCATTTGATAGAATGGAAGACATATTACAGAAACAGAGATGATTTTGATTGGTTTTAGCAATGGAAATGGCTTGAAACTGAGCTCAAAGTAGCAGAAATGTTAAATTTTTGCCGATATTCAAGAGTAAACAAACGACCTCACACGTCTAATACACGACAGCTGGTGGGTCTAATATGCATTCACAAATATGGTGATGATATTTATACAATTATTACAATATTGCATAACAGTAAATCTTCTATTTTTTGGTGTGAATAAAAATTCATTATGTGAATAAAAAATCAAAATGGAATTTATTTGTAAAGCCTCAAAACGTAACTAATGAACAGAGGAAATGTTAGTTTAGTTCCAGAAATACCTACATTGTTTATTCTGGACCCTATTTTGAAATTGGAATATTTTGAACTTTGTGTTAAATTGGCCAAATTAACAATTTCTGATCACTTTAATTTGTAGTTGAAACAGTTGACTTGGCGATTTCTTGTGCTCAATCGATAGAATAGAAGTAATACTAGTGAAATAGCTAAGAATTTGGTTGACTGGAATAATGTAATTGGCCTAAAATGGGAGTCAAATTCGGCAAAATCGCCGATTCGTAAATATCGCTGACACATCAAAATTCGCGAGAGCATAATTTCGTCAATTTTCCATCAAATTTCGTACTTTTTGTTTTATTACCTTCACAAAAAGATTCTCTGCCATTTCATAAGAAAAAATAAACAAATTTTTTTTTTGAAAATTCTTGGACACTGGGGCACCACTTCAGATATGGGCCTTGGACCCTGAAGGGGTTAAAGGAGGGGTTTGGGATATTGGCAGTTTGGAGGGATATGTTGTGTATCTTTATACATACATGCTTCTAAACTGTTGTGTTCTGAGCACCTCTGCAAAAACAGTGATTATGTGTGAGTGAGGTAAAAGTGTTGAATGATGATGAAAGTATTTTCTTTTTGGGGATTTTCTTTCTTTTTGGGTCACCCTGCCTTGGGAGACGGCCGACTTGTTAAAAAAAAAAATATGCATGTATGTATGTACCCTTAGTATAGAATCTTGAGTGTTATTCATTTGGGTTAAACAATTCAAATTCATTTGAAGAATGCTTGTTTTTAAATTTGTTGCTTCTGTAAGGAATTTTGGTCCATAAAAATAATATGACTCATATGACAGACAAGATTTTAGCAGTTTTAAATAAATATATACTGATAAATTGTCTACAGCATTAAGCTTAAGACAATGTTGGTGTGTTTGTTACATGGCTTGGTAGGCAACACACTTGCCTCACACACTGAGTGTCCATGGTTCAATCCCTGGCCGGATGAAAAAGTTGGGCAAGCTTCCTTACACCTGCTGCCCCTGTTCACCTAACAGTAAGTAGATACCTGGGTGTTAGTTGACTTGTGTGGGTTGCATCATGGGGGACAAGATTGAAGGACCCCAGTGGAAATAAGACAGACAGTCCTCGATGATGCAATGACTTTCTTGGGTTTTCCTTGTTGCCTAACCCTCTGGGTTGAAAATCCAAGCAAATCTCATCTTATCTAATCTTAACATTGCAGACATCCGCAAAGTAACAATGTTTGGGCAGCAACGTGCTCCATTTGGTAGCACCACGTCTACCTTTGGCACAGGCTTTGGAACCCCCAACACCACGACTGGTACTACGGGATTTGGAACTAACTTTGGGCGTACTGCTTTTGGAAATCCGGTAAGGGTTGCAATTAAAGATTTAATGTACTGAACCTTTCACCCCTTTTACAGAAAGTTAAATTTAAAAGTATTTAGAAAGAACATTGAACATTGGATTGGTATAGAAGTGTACTGTATTGACTCAGGCTGTTAACATGGGATTTGGAATTTTAATGTGATCTTAATTTTGAGGTATAAAATTTAAACTAAATTTTATTCATTGGCAGGATATGTATTAATGCTTGTCATACAGAAACATATTACACTGGTTAACCTCAATTTCTCATAGATACACTTTGCATAAGCCATCAGCAGTTTGTGTTCTATGATTCCTAGTGATGGGGAAGTTGCAATAGATCTTGACAGATGATGATTGGTTTCATTTGGTTGAAATAATTCTTGGCAATTTTTTTTTTGTATGCTCACATGAAAATCTGCTACATGCCTCATATCTACTCTAGAAAAGTTGGAGTATAGATTTGTAAATACGGTTGTGAAATAAGAAGGCTTCAAGAAAAAAACTTCATTGGGATTTTTCCTTGAGGCTGTTTGAATACTTTTTTGAATCTTATGAAATATTTAATTTATTATTCTAATAAATTATTTTGTCACACAGCAACAAACTACAAGCTTTGGAGCAGCAACGACACCTTTTGGGGCTGCCACTTCTACAGGTACATCATTGTTTGGCACTCAGACACAGCAACCTGGAGGAGGATTGTTTGGACAACAACAACCTCAGCAAACATCAACAAGTTTTAGTCAGCCTAGCACTGGTTTTGGCACAAGTACTGGAGGACTCTTTGGCCAGACTCAACAACCTACTGCCACTGGTATGTTAATTCTTCTATATACAGTAGACCATCGTTTAACACAGTAGTTATGTTCTGAAAACACCGTGTTAGACAAAACCATGTTAGACAAACTGAAGAACTTATGGGGAAAATAGGGTTACGTTCCTGGGATCCCCCAAAAAACCAAACAACTTTTTTTTTAGACCTCCAGATCTTAAAAAAATAAAAGGAATGTGTAATTGTATTTCATTGTCATGATGTAATATGTTGTTTTTACTGCTTAAGACTACAAATGCAACAGAAACAATAGTATTTCTTACCTTAAATTGTGGGTGCTGGTGTTTGTCAATGATTGTGAAAAAGTCTAAGTCATTCAATAAGTCAGTCAAATCATTCAGTCAGTCAGTCAAGTCGGTAAATCAGTCAAGTCAGTATGTGATTCAGTCAGGTCAGTCAAGTCAAGTCAGTCAGTCAAGTCAGTCAGTCAAGTCAGTCAGTCAAGTCAGTCATCACACAAACTTATATTTACCTCATTCTTTTTTCTGTACAAAATGACGCTTCATTCCGGCTATAGGCTATCTCTTGTCTAATATCTCTATTCGTTAATTCTAAGACTTAAACGCTTAAACCTTTTCTTGCAACTTTCAGCAACACTTGTATGTCTACTGGGTGCCATAATTGCTTGGCAGATTCAAGATATGGCAATTCATACGTATCTAAACAAACACAGTGAGCTACTGGCACAGGTTCATCCAACACACACATGAGCTGAGCTGAAGGCTGGGAAGGTGGTGGGGGTGGCTGATGCTGGCGGGGGATGGCAGTAGTCCATCCCGCCTTGCGGGTGACCGCACACTAAAAATGTTTTCCTCTCCCACAACCGTGTTAAATTAATTTTACGACATGTTAAACAAAAATTTGCTGCAATTGTTCAATTGTACTATAACCGAAACGTGCAAGACAAAACAATGTTAAATGATGGTCTACTGTATTTTGTTTTTAATACACTGCCCATCCCACTGAGGTAGGGTCTACCTGGAGGGAATTCTGGAGGTCAGTGCCCCATGTGGCTCAGTCCTATTACCAGGCCTCATTGGATCAGGGTCTGATCATCCAGTGTGTGTCTGCGGCTGCATGCAGTCCATGTATGAACCACAGCCTAACTGGTCAGGCACTGACTTTAGGTATCTGTCCAGTTTCCTCTTAAAGACAGATAGGGGTCTATTGGTAATCCCCTTTATGAATGATAGGTGGCTGTTGAACAGTCTTGAGTCCCTGATGCTTGCTGTTTTCTCTCAGCATCCTTCCTTTTCATTGACGGGATGTCTTGCTTTCATAGGGAGTGATGTCTGTGTGCAGAGGGAGCAGTCCCTCTAGGGTTTTCCAGGTGCAAATTATGATTTACCTTTCTTGCCTGCTTATCAAGGAGTATAGCTCAAAGGACTTCAAACATTCTCAGTAACTGAGGTGCTTGACTACTTATACGTGCAGTGAAGGTCCTCTGTAACCCAAAAAAGAGGAAAACCCACTCTTCATTCATTCAGTTACTGTCTTGCCAGCAACGTACTAGTATCACAGTTCAGGTGGCCCCCTGAATTGTAACATCTCACCCCACCTTAGTGTGCAGGCACTGTACCTCCCTCCTCCAAGATTCAAGTCTGGTTAATTGGTTTCCCTGAATTCCTTCACAGATGTTACCTTGCTCGCACCCCAACAGCACATCTAATCATTAAAACCACTTTTCTCCACTCATTCCTATCAAGCATTCTCATGCAAGCCTGTTGGACATCCAAACCACTAGCACTCAAAACCTTCCTCACTCCGTTCCTCCCAGCCCTTTCTGGGAGGAACGGAGTGCGAATTTATTGTCCTCCTAGTCATCCTGTTTTGCTTTATCCTCTTTAAATGTTCAGACCATCTCAACAGCCCCTCCTCTGCCCTCTGAATAATATTTTTGATAACTCAATCCCTTCCTCTTTTCTCCAAGCTCTGAATTCTATGCATTATATTCTTACCACATATTGCCCTCAAAAAACCACATCATCTTTGCCTCTAGCCACCTCCTCTCTGTGTCATTTAACACCCAGGTTTCACACTGGTATAACAGTGTTGGTACCACTATACTCTGGTACATTCCTTTCTTTACCTTTGTGGATAAGGTTCTTTGTCTTAACAGATGCCTCAGTTCACCACTCACCTTTTTTTCCTTGTCAGTCCTGTGATTCACCTTGTCTTTCATAAACCCATCCACTGACAAGTCCACTCTCAAATATCTAAAAACACTAACTTCATACTCCCTTCAGTCTGATATTCAGGCTTTCATTGCCTAGATTTTTCTGTTACCCTCATCACCTTACTCTTTCCTATATTCATTTAATTTCCTTATTTTATATACCCTGCTAAATTTGTTTATTAATCTTTCCAGTTTCTCTTCAATTCTCTCAAAAGAACAGTGTCATTGGCAAAAAGCAATTATACCAAGGCAAAAAACAATAAGAGGATAACTTGAAGCTTCTAAATACTTGAAAGTATTCAGATACCTAGGGATTGGCAGAGAGCATGCATAGTTCCTTTGTATAAAGGCAAAGGGGATAAAAGAGAGTGCAAAAATTATAGGGGGATAAGTCTGTTGAGTGTACCTGGTAAAGTGTATGGTAGAGTTATAATTGAAAGAATTAAGAGTAAGACGGAGAATAGGATAGCAGATGAACAAGGAGGCTTTAGGAAAGGTAGGGGGTGTGTGGACCAGGTGTTTACAGTGAAACATATAAGTGAACAGTATTTAGATAAGGCTAAAGAGGTCTTTTGTGGCATTTATGGATTTGGAAAAGGCGTATGACAGGGTGGATAGGGGGGCAATGTGGCAGATGTTGCAAGTGTATGGTGTAGGAGGTAGGTTACTGAAAGCGGAAATTTTTAGAGGATAGGAGGCTCAAGTTAGAGTATTAAAAAAGAGGGAAATTTTTTCCCAGAAAAGTGGGCCCCCAGACAAGGAGTGTGATGTCACCGTGGTTTTTTAAAAATTTTATAGAGGGGGTTGTAAGAGAAGTAAATGCGAGGGTCTTTGGAAGAGGCTGGATTTTTAAAAGATAAAGAACAACAAAAAGGGGGATTTGTCACAGCTCTCTTTGCTGATGACACTGTGCTTTTGGGGAAATTTCTAAAGAAAGCTGCAGAGTTTGGTGGATAAATTTTGGGTAGGGTGTCAAAAGAAGAAAATTAAAGGTGAATACGGGAAAGAGAAAGGGTTATGGGGATAACAAAAAAGATTGGGGGGATAAAGATTGAATATAGATTAGGAGAGAGTAGGGGGAGGGAACGTATTCAGATATTTGGGAGTGGACGTGTCACGGAGGGGCCCCTTAAAGATGGGGTGAATCATGAATTGATGGGGGAAAAAGAGTGAGGGGTGCACTTGGGGTCTGTGGAACAAAGAACTTGCCTTGGAGGAAAAGAGGGGAATTATAGAGTATAGTTTTACCCACGCTCTTATTGGGTGTGAAGCGTGGGTGATGAATGTTGCAGCGAGGAGAAGCGGGAGGCATGGAGTTTGTCATGTCTAGGCAATGTGGTGTGAATATAATGCAGAGAATTCGAGTTGGAATTAGAGGAGTGCGGGATTCCCAAAACTGTTGTCCAGAGGGCTGAGGAAGGTTTTTGAGGTGGTTCGACATGTAAGAAAAAATGGAGCGAAACAGAATGACTTCAAGAGTGTATCAGTCTGTAGTGAAGGAAGGCGGGTAGGGTGCCTATGAAGGTTTGGAGGGAGGGTAAAGAGGTTTTGTGTCGAGGGCTTGCTTCCAGCAGGCATGCTGAGCGTGTTTGATGAGTGAATGGAGACAAATGTTTTTAATCACTGAAACGTGCTGTTGGAGTGCTGACAAAGTAACATTATGAAGGATTCATGGAAACCGGCAGGCCGGACTTGAGTCCTGGAGATTGGAAGTACAGTGCCTGCACTCTGAAAGAGGGGTGTTAATGTTGCAGTTTAAAAACTGTAGTGTAAAGCACCCTTCTGGCAAGACAGTGATGGAGTGAATGATGGTGAAAGTTTTTCTTTTTCGGGCCACCCTGCCTTGGTGGGAATCGGCCAGTGTGATAATAAAATAAAAAAAATAATTCAGATGACCTTTAGTAAAAAATCTTGCAACACACTGGCCATATTGCATTGAGGCAGGGTGACCTAAAAAAGAAAGACGAAAGGTACCTTTTTTATACATTTAGTAATTTATATAGGAGAAGGGGTTACTAGCCCCTTGCTCCTGGTATTGTAGTCACCTCTTATGACACACATGGCTTACAGAGGAACTGAATTTGGGGTTCATCTGTGCTGTATAATATAATATTTTTTAATCAAGTTATTTCTCACTAATGTATGGTAACTCAAGGAAAGAAATACATATATCGTCACTCATTCAATAACTGTCGTGCCAGGTCTCTGGACATCATAAGCTCTCCCTACTGATGTCAGGAATTGACATTTGCTCATAGGCTCACCAACATAGCCAGGGGATTATACATGTATAATTTAGTTTTTTATTTCAATATTTTGTAAATTTATTTTACAGTGGACCCCCGCATAACGAGAACCTCCGAATTGGCGACCATTTGTAAGTTTATTTATGTAAGTGCGTTTTTTACTGTATGTTTGGGGGTCTAGAAATGGATAATCTACTTCATCAATATTGTCTTATGGAACAAATTCGGTCAGAATTACATGGCAAGGCCTAACATAGCTTCTGGATATAATGAAATTTATTTTTTAAATATTCTTGTAAATTTATTTTTAATTTGTTCATAACTGTTTATGTATTATCCCACAGGTCTTTTTGGTAGTGGTACAACTGGTGGCTTTGGAGCACAACAATCAACACAGAATCGTCCCTTTGGTTTTGGTCAGACAATCACCAGCAGCACAAGCACTGCAGGAGGACTCTTCAGTTCTACACAACCTGCCACTAGTGGAGGACTCTTCAGCAGTTCAGGTGCACCACCATGGCTTTTTTTCTTTCTTTTGAAGCTTAATAGGTCTGGAGTTACTTACTAGTGCAATTATTTAATTTATGTTGTGCATGTAAATAAGACACAGTGTACTTTTTTTTTTAACACACTGGCTGTCTCCTACTGAGGCAGAGGGACCTGAAAAAGAAACACACTCACCATTATTCACACACTCACTGTCTTGCCAGAGGCACACAGATAAGACAGTTCAGATGTCTCTCCAAACAGTGAATATTTCTACCCCTTCTTTAGAGTGCAGGCATTGTACTTGCCACCTCCAGGAATTGAGTATGTCTAACCAGTTTCCCTAGAATCCACCAGGAATCAAGTACATCTAACCAGTTTCCCTGAATCCCTTCATAAAATGTTGCCTTTCTCACACTCCAATAGCTTGTCAGATCCCAAAAATCATTTGCCTCCACTCACTCCTATCTGACACACACACATACACATGCCTTCTGGATATCCAAGCCCTTGCACACAAAACCTCCTTTGTTAATGAATACATTTTTTCCACCAGGCACTTTATCAATGCTTTGAAAGATGTTCGTATACTCTGTATCGAGGTTGGGGAGAGGTCTTGGGGTGGAAAAAATGTGCACATGAGTAGCTGGCAGAATAGGTGAGGTTAAGTGATGCCAGTGCCAGTGTGGGGAGAGTAAGCCTCACTAAGACAGATATTGTGAAGGATTTAGAGTTTTGAGAGATAGTAGTGGTAGTAGCTATTACTGCTGATTCTAAATGTATCTGCTGTAACAGTTGCTATTTGATGGTAAGTCTTGCCTCTGGGAAATTCATTTATTTGTCACTGTTACAGTGTAGAGTACATGAATTACTAGTGTTGCCCCTCTGCCATGAGTACATACTTATGTTGTCTGATTATGGTATTCAGACACCTAGAAGTTTCTCTTACATTAACCTTGTTACACACTCCACACAGTATGGTATAAATGTTGGCACTCATTTTGACTAGGTCTTGTATGTTTTTTGATGAAATATTAGTGACCTTGATATGGGCTCTCACTCAGGTTGCTGGTTTGGTTGACTGGAGGTACAGTGTATCTACTGGATGTAGTGTCAGTGATTGTTTCTTTCTTTGGGTCACCCATTCTTGGTGGGAAATGACTGATGTGGTAAAGAAAAATAATTAGATGAATTGCCATAGTGGTATAACTCATGTTTAATGTGAATTTTATTTTTTCAAGGTTTTGGTGCAGCAGGAGCTCTCACTGGCACAACAGTCAAGTATGAACCTGTTACTGGCAGCGACACAATGACCAGAAATGGAGTTTCCACCAACATCCGTACAAAAATTGAAGTCATCTCTACTATGAAAGTGAGTACCTGTTCATGTCTATGCTGTTGCATCACTGTCTTTATTACCATTTCCATAAATTTGTGCCTCTCTTCACCCCTTCTACATCTTTCTTGTCCTCCTCTGCCTTCACTTGTCTTTACTCTGTCATTATCAAAAAATAATTTTTTTTAACACGTTGGCCGTTTCCCACCAAGGCAGGGTGACCTAAAAAGAAAGAAAAACCCAAAAAGAAAGAGGGGAAGGTACCTAGGGATAGGCGGAAAGCATGTATAGTCCCTTTATATAAAGAGAATGGGGACAAAAGAGATTGTAAAAATTGTAGAGGAATAAGTTTACCGAGTATACCAGGAAAAGTGTACGGTAGGGTTATTATTGAAAGAATTAGAGGTAAGACAGAATGTAGGATTGCCCATGAGCAAAGAGGTCTCACAGTGGGTAGGGGGTGTGTAAATCAAGTGTTTACATTGAAACATATATGTAAACAGTATTTAGATAAAGGTAGGGAAGTTTTTATTGCATTTATGGATTTAGAAAAGGCATATGATAGAGTGGATAGGGGAGCAATGTGGCAGATGTTGCAAGTATATGGAATAGGTGGTAAGTTACAAAATGCTGTAAAGAGTTTTTATGAGGATAGTGAGGCTCAGGTTAGGGTGTGTAGAAGAGAGTGAGACTACTTCCCGGTAAAAGTAGGTCTTAGACAGGGATGTGTAATGTCACCATGGTTGTTTAATATATTTATAGATGGGGTTGTAAAAGAAGTAAATGTTAGGGTGTTCGGGAGAGGGGTGGGATTAAATTATGGGGAATCAAATACAAAATGGGAATTGACACGGTTACTTTTTGCTGATGATACTGTGCTTATGGGAGATTCTAAAGAAAAATTGCAAAGGTTAGTGGATGAGTTTGGGAGTATGTGTAAAGGTAGAAAGTTGAAAGTGAACATAGAAAAGAGTAAGGTGATGAGGGTATCAAGTGATTTAGATAAAGAAAAATTGGATATCAAATTGGGGAGGAGGAGTATGGAAGAAGTGAATGTTTTCAGATACTTGGGAGTTGACGTGTCGGCGGATGGATTTATGAAGGATGAGGTTAATCATAGAATTGATGAAGGAAAAAAGGTGAGTGGTGTGTTGAGGTATATGTGGAGTCAAAAAACATTATCTATAGAGACAAAGAAGGGAATGTATGAAAGTATAGTAATACCAACACTCTTATATGGGTGTGAAGCTTGGGTTGTGAATGCAGCAGCGAGGAGGCAGTTGGAGGCAGTGGAGATGTCCTGTCTAAGGGCAGTGTGTGGTGTAAATACAGTGGAACCTCAAAAATCGAACTTAATCCGTTCCAGGAGCTAGTTCTAAATTTGAAAAGTCTGAAATTCGAAGCAATATTTCCCATAAGAAATAATGGAAATGCAATTAATGCGTTCCAGAAACCCAAAAATATTCACTCAAAAAATACATTTTATAGAGATTAATTACAGTTTTACATACAATAAATACTATAGTTTTTAATTATGTATAGTAATACATATAAAATAACATTTTTACTTACCTTTATTGAAGATTGGTGATGGCATCTGGAAGATAGGGAGGAGGAGAGAGGGAGTTGGGGTTAGTGTTTGGAAGGAGAATTTCCCTCCATGAGGACTTCAGGTAAAGCCCTCTCTGGGGTTACTTCCCTTCTCTGTCTTTTAATGCCACTAGGACTGTGGCCAAACACTTCATGGACCCACTCTTTGAAAATTTGTCTTGTGACTCATGCCTTATGATTAGCTTTCCACAAGACACATAACTTGTTCTTAAAGACATTGTTTTTCTTAAACACACTGGGATTTTCTGAATGATACACAAGTAAAGGCTTCACTTTAAAATCACCATTAGCATTAGCACAGAACAAAAGAGTAAGCCTGTCTTTCATAGGCTTGTGTCCTGGCAGTGCCTTTTCCTCCAGTGTGATGAAGGTCCTTTTTGGCATTTTCTTCCAAAACAAGCCTGTTTCGTCACAATTAAACACTTATTCAAGTTTCAATTCTTCTCTGTCTATGTACCCCTTAAACTCCTGTACAAACTTCTCAGCCGCCTGTTTGTCTGAACTGGCTGCCTCACCATGTCTTACAACATTGTGTATGCCACTATGCTTCTTAAATCTGTCAAACCAGCCTCTGCTGGCCTTAAATTCACTATCAGCACTGGTTCCAGGAGTTTTCTGTGCCAGATCGGCATGCAACTTCCTTGCCTTTTCGCAAATAATCGTCTCTGAAACACTATCACCTGCAATCTCTTTATCCTTGATCCACACCAGCAACAACTTCTCAACCTCTTCAACTATTTGTGGTCTTTTTTTGGTTAGCAAATTAACACCTTTCGCAACATCAGCTTCCTTGATTTGTTCTTTATTTGACAGGATAGAACTGATGGTCGACTTGTTTTTCCCATACATCCTGGCAAGCTCAATAAGTCTCACACCACTCTCATACTTCTGTATTATTTCCTTCTTCACATCTATGGTGTTTCTCACTTTCTTTACCACAGGGGTACCATTAGCAAGTTTCTTTGGGCCCGTGGCAGCTTATTTCACAGTCCCACAAGCACTGAACGCTACGAAATAATTGTAAAATGCGTGAATGAGAGCGCAGGTTAGTGTTCACTTAAGCATAAACAAAGCTAGACTGTTCACGGCGCCTGCGCGGGGACGCTGACAGAGCGGGCGGCAGACAGGTCCCTTACCTGGCTGTCCGAGAATAGGGGCGCGTTCGATAATAGGGACACAGTTTGTCCAAAAAAATGGTTCTATTTTCGAAAGGTTCGATATGTAATACGTTCGATTTTTGAGGTTCCACTGTATTATGCAGAAAATTTGGAGTGTGGAAATTAGGAGAAGGTGTGCAGTATTAGTCAAGAGGGCTGAAGAGGGGTTGTTAAGGTGGTTTGGTCATTTAGAGTGAATGGATCAAAGTAGAATGACATGGAGAGCATTTAAATCTGTAGGAGAAGGAAGGCTGGGTAGGGGTCGTCCTCGAAAAGGTTGGAAGGAAGGGGTAAGGGAGGTTTTGTGGGCGAGGGGCTTGGACTTCCAGCAGGTGTGCATGAGCGTGTTCGATAGGAGTGAATGGAGATGAATGGTATTTGGGACCTGACGATCTGTTAGTGTGAGCAGGGTAATATTTATTGAAGGGATTCAGGGAAACGGTTATTTTTATATAGCCGGACTTGAGTCCTGGAAATGGGAAGTACAATGCCTGCACTCTAAAGGAGGGGTTCGGGATATTAGCAGTTTGGAGGGATATGTTGTGTATCTTTATACGTATATGCTTCTAAACTGTTGTGTTCTGAGCACCTCTGCAAAAACAGTGATTATGTGTGAGTGAGGTGAAAGTGTTTAATGATGATGAAAGTATTTTCTTTTGGGGGATTTTCTTTCTTTTTGGATCATCCTGCCTCGGTGGGAGACGGCCGACTTGTTGAAAAAAAAAAAAAAAACTTTTACCATCATTCATACGTAATCACTGTCTTTGCAGAGGTACTCAGATACGACAGCTTAGATGTCCCTCCAAACTGCCAATATCCCAAACCCCTCCTTTAAAGTGCAGGCATTGTACTTCCCATTTCCAGGACTCATGTCCAGATAACTGGTTTCCCTGAATCTCTTCACAAAATATTACCCTGCTCACACTCCAACAGCTCATCAGGTTCCAAAAACCATTCGTCTCCATTCACTCCTATCTCACACATTCACGCATGCTCTCCAAGTCATTCTACGTAGTGGGAATAACAACAGTACCTACTGTTGTATTTCATTTAAGAAAGAAGTGTGTATGTTGTACAGAAATAAACTGGTACTAACATAGATATTTCTTATAGCTATCAATTCATTTGACAAAAGTTAACTGTGAAAGATGCCAAAGATTTCAATTGCATTTTAAGTTTTAAATGTCTTAAGGAACACATACAACATTTACCAAAGAAATCCATGTGCCTCTTAAGTGTATGAGTATGTCAGAAAAGTGGCTTTAGGTACTTGCCTGCCATTGGAGTATGAGCAAGGTAATGTTTATGAATGGATTCGGGAAAACTGGCTAGCCTGACTTGAGTCCTGGGGGTTGTCAGGGCAGTGCTGGTACGCTGAAGGAAGGTGGGGATGTTGCAGTTGGAGGGTAGTCTGGATTGTGATGTCAGTACACTTCTGGAAAGATAGCTGTTGAATGAATTATGGTGAATATGTTTTCTTTGGATCACCCTTCCTTGGCAGGAGAAAGCTGTTGAGGTAAAAAAATATAATAATTATCAACATTGCTATTGAAATACAACTAAAGATAGCAAAGATGTGGGTGGCCTTACTGTTATGTACAAGGCCAATATTGTCAAAGTACCACACTTGGATCCACTTCGAGGACAGCGTGAAGCAAGCTTCTGTACCACAAGATGGGCAGAAAGCACCAAATTCACTCTGGCTGTACCCTTCTCCAGAACATCACTTCATCTGAGATCATTTATCCCCAGGATGACTCGAGTATGGAACACATTCGTACAGCATTATGATGTCAGCTAGAAAAAGTCAGTTGATGAGATGAAAATGCTGGCCCACAGATGGCTTCAACTTCATCCTGTTCCTTGTATGTCTCATAACAATAAAAATACTTGTATATTTCATAGCAGATGAACAAGGAGGCTTTAGGAAAGGTAGGGGGTGTGTGGAGCAGGTGTTTACAGTGAAACATATAAGTGAACAGTATTTAGATAAGGCTAAAGAGGTCTTTGTGGCATTTATGGATTTGGAAAAGGCATATGACAGGGTGGATAGGGGGGCTATGTGGCAGATGTTGCAGGTGTATGGTGTAGGAGGTAGGTTACTGAAAGCAGTGAAGAGTTTTTACGAGGATAGTGAGGCTCAAGTTAGAGTGTGTAGGAAAGAGGGAAATTATTTCCCAGTAAAAGTAGGCCTTAGACAAGGATGTGTGATGTCACCATGGTTGTTTAATATATTTATAGATGGGGTTGTGAGAGAAGTAAATGCGAGGGTCTTGACAAGAGGCGTGGAGTTAAAAGATAAAGAATCACACATAAAGTGGGAGTTGTCACAGTTGCTCTTTGGTGATGACACTGTGCTCTTGGGAGATTCTGAAGAGAAGTTGCAGAGATTGGTGGATGAATTTGGTAGGGTGTGCAAAAGAAGAAAATTAAAAGTGAATACAGGAAAGAGTAAGGTTATGAGGATAACAAAAGGATTAGGTGATGAAAGACTGGATATCAGATTGGAGGGAGAGAGTATGGAGGAGGTGAATGTATTCAGATATTTGGGAGCGGACGTGTCAGCGGATGGGTCTATGAAGGATGAGGTGAATCATAGAATTGATGAGGGGAAAAGGGTGAGTGGTGCACTTAGGAGTCTGTGGAGACAAAGAACTTTGTCCTTGGAGGCAAAGAGGGGAATGTATGAGAGTATAGTTTTACCAATGCTCTTATATGGGTGTGAAGCATGGGTGATGAATGTTGCAGCGAGGAGAAGGCTGGAGGCAGTGGAGATGTCATGTCTGAGGGCAATGTGTGGTGTGAATATAATGCAGAGAATTCGTAGTTTGGAAGTTAGGAGGAGGTGCGGGATTACCTAAACTGTTGTCTAGAGGGCTGAGGAAGGGTTGCTGAGGTGGTTCGCACATGTAGAGAGAATGGAGCGAGACAGAATGACTTCAAGAGTGTATCAGTCTGTAGTGGAAGGAAGGCGGGGTAGGGGTCGGCCTAGGAAAGGTTGGAGGGAGGGGGTAAAGGAGGTTTTGTGTGCGAGGGGCTTGGACTTCCAGCAGGCGTGCGTGAGCGTGTTTGATAGGAGCGAATGGAGACGAATGGTTTTTAATACTTGACGTGCTGTTGGAGTGTGAGCAAAGTAACATTTATGAAGGGGTTCAGGGGAAACCGGCAGGCCGGACTTGAGTCCTGGAGATGGGAAGTACAGTGCCTGCACTCTGAAGGATGGGTGTTAATGTTGCAGTTTAAAAACTGTAGTGTAAAGCACCCTTCTGGGAAGACAGTGATGGAGTGAATGATGGTGAAAGTTTTTCTTTTTCGGGCCACCCTGCCTTGGTGGGAATCGGCCAGTGTGATAATAATAAAAAAAAAAAATGTTTTATAACAATAAGAATACTTGTATGTCTCATAACAATAAAAATGCTTTCAAATGAGCTGATGTAGGTAACAGCTCTTAGCTTGTCAATAAAGTTAGGAATCCTTAACCTGTAAATAGCTTGTCAACAAAGTTAAGGATCCTTAACCTTGTCAAACCCTGTGAAAAAAAAAAAAGATAGATGGAAATTATCTTTAATTTTCAATCATTAATTATTAAAGTTGCCTTGTTTCAGACAGTTCAAATTTAACTTGCTTGCATCCTTAATATGCCTATCCTGTAGATCTGAGCAGTACTCACTACAGGAACACTTTGTTTATAAATGGCAAAAAAAGTACTCGCTAGCATGATAATGAATGGCTCAATGTATTAAGGATATAAATACAGTGGACCCCCGGTTAACGAACTTTTTTCATTCCAGTAGTATGTTCAGGTGCCAGTACTGACCGAATTTTTTCCCATAAGGAATATTGTGAAGTGGATTAGTCCATTTCAGACCCCCAAACATACACGTACAAACGCACTTACATAAATACACTTACATAATTGGTCGCATTTGGAGGTGATCGTTAAGCGGGGGTCCACTGTAATACATTTGTAAGAGCATAATCTGGTTATTACTGAGTGCTACATATTTAGTTTTGAGGATACTGAGGACCAAGATTGTCAGACTAAAATGAAGGTTGCTGAGTGAGCATATACATAAGTGGAAGTGGACTCCATACAGACACAAAAATAGGTATGAAAAACTTCAATCACATTTGTTAGGATGCAGGACAAAGTGCTGCAGCTGAACTCCCATAAATTCAAATAGGTAATTACAGGTGACAAAGAAGGTAGGTTAGAATAAATCAAAGTTTCTTGAATTGTACTGTATTTCTTTGCAATTTTTATGTAATATCTATTATTTGTGTTACCTTCAGGAGTATGAAAACAAGTCTTTAGAAGAACTACGTGTTGAAGATTATCTTGCGAACCGAAAAGGCCCGACCTCAGGTACGACCATGCCTGGTTTTGGTCAGACACAGCAGCAGGGAACACAGCCACAGTTGGGAAGTACAGGGCTCTTTGGATCCTCCAGTGGTACGTCATTATTTGCAACTACCAAGCCTCCGGAGAATAAGTCCCTATTTGGCACTGCAACTTCAACTGGTTAGTTCTTATAATTTCTCGTTTATTTTTTGTGCTTGAAATATGCTCATTACATTTATGATTTTGCTTTTTTTTTTTTTTTTTCAACTTCTGGTTTTTCCTGCCAGTGATCCAAAGAAAATACATTTACAATTATAAATTCAACTGCTGTCTTGTCATAGGTGTGCTGAGATCACTAACACCCTTCACAGTAATCTAGTTGTACCTCTCCTTCTGCTATCTTGGTGTCTACTCTATTTCATGCTGTTCTTGTCCTCTTCAATACTTCTGAGAGTCTGGCTGCTCTCTTTCTGACAACAGACTCAAAGAACACAGAAAAAGTGTTAGACCTGCCAACAAGAGTAATGCTCTTTTCTGTTATGTTAGAGATCACAGTTATCCTGTTGATTGGTTCTCTGCTAAAACTGTCTACCCTACTTCTAGACTTCACTGTCTTATTGAATCCTCCCTTATACACAACTTTCCTTGTATAAATCTTAGTCCTGTCTTTGTCTTTATAGATGCTTTCCTTTTGTATTACATTGTCAAATGCTCCAGACTTCAGAACACTTGTGACTTGACCTGATCCTTTCTTCTCTGCATCACTTCATAAATGTTACCTTGCTCACATTGCAACAGCACATCCATTAAAAATCATTTGTCTCCCTTCACTCTTATCTAATGTGCTCACAAGCCTTTGAGATGCTCAAACCTATGAAATTCAAAGCCTCCCTTACCCCTCTCCTAAGCATTCCTGGGGCAAAATCTACCCCTCCTGGTTTCTGTTGCAGATTCTCTGCCCCCTCGCCATCATCCTATCCCTCCCTGTCCTCTCTACATGTCCTCACTCCTCAGCATCCCCTCTCTAGTACTCTAAAGTATACCCCAGGTTACCCCATATTGCCTTTTAAGCTCTACTTTCTGATTTTTTCTGCATGATAATCGTACTACATTTTTTTTTTTTTTTCAACAAGTCGGCCGTCTCCCACCGAGGCAGGGTGACCCAAAAAAGAAAGAAAATCCCCAAAAAGAAAATACTTTCATCATCATTCAACACTTTCACCACACTCGCACATTATCACTGCTTTTGCAGAGGTGCTCAGAATACAACAGCTTAGAAGCATATACATATAAAGATACACAACATATCCCTCCAAACTGCCAATATCCCAAACCCCTCCTTTAAAGTGCAGGCATTGTACTTCCCATTTCCAGGACTCAAGTCCGACTATATGAACATAACCGGTTTCCCTGAATCCCTTCACTAAATATTACCCTGCTCACACTCCAACAGATCGTCAGGTCCCAAGTATCATTCGCCTCCATTCACTCCTATCTAACATGCTCATGCACGCTTGCTGGAAGTCCAATCGTACTACATCTTGCTCTCAAATTGTAAATCTCTGCTGCCTTTAACCTTGCTATAGTGTTCATCATGTACCATATAAAATTGTTGGTACCACTATGATGCATTCCTTTATTTGCTTCCATAGATAAATTTTTTCTTTTGACAGATACAGTTCAGAACACACCCCATGTTTTTCTTCCTCATGTATTCTGTGGTTTACTTAGTCTTTCTGTTGACATGTCCACTCCCAAATATCTGAATACATCCACTTCCTTCATACTCCCTCCTTCCAATCTGATGTTCAATCTCTCATTGCCTAGATTTATTGTTAACCTCATCATCTTGCTTGTTTGTATGTTCACCTTTAATTTCCTTCTCCCAAATTCTTCCACCAACTTTGGTAACTTTTCTTAATAATGCCCAAAAGAAATGTCGGCAGAAAAGCAAATGTGATAACTTCCACTTTGTATCAGATCCAACACCTTTTAATACCATACCTCTTTAATCCCATACCTCTTTAATACCATTTCTCTTTAATCCCTTGCCTCTTTAATCCTGTACCTTTTTAATACCACTTCTCTTTAATCCCATACCTCTTTAATCCGTTGCCTCTTTACTGCCATTCTCATCAATAGCATTTGATTCTTTGACAGCCCCAGCTATGAATATATTAAATGGCTATAGTAAAATCACTTTGTCCTTGAAGGCAAAGAGGGGAATGTATGAGAGTATAGTTTTACCAACGCTCTTATATGGGTGTGAAGCATGGGTGATGAATGTTGCAGCGAGGAGAAGGCTGGAGGCAGTGGAGATGTCATGTCTGAGGGCAATGTGTGGTGTGAATATAATGCAGAGAATTCGTAGTTTGGAAGGTAGGAGGAGGTGCGGGATTACCAAAACTGTTGTCCAGAGGGCTGAGGAAGGGTTGTTGAGGTGGTTCGGACATGTTGAGAGAATGGAGCGAAACAGAATGACTTCAAGAGTGTATCAGTCTGTAGTGAAAGGAAGGCGGGGTAGGGGTCGGCCTAGGAAAGGTTGGAGGGAGGGGTAAAGGAGGCTTTGTGTGCGAGGGGCTTGGGATTTTCGCGGGCAATGCTGAGCGTTTTGATAGGAGTGAATGGAGACAAAGGTTTTTTAAAATTGCGGCTTTTTGAATGTGAGAAAAGTAACATTTTAAAGGGGGTTCGGGGAAAACCGGCAGGCTGGACTTAGTCCTGGAATGGGAAGTACAGTGCCTGCACCTGAAGGGGGGTTGTTAATTTCAGTTTAAAAACTGTAGTGTAAACCCCCTTCTGGCAAGACAGGATGGAGTGAATGAGGGTGAAAGTTTTTTTTTTCGGGGGCCCCCTGCCTTGGGGGGAATCGGGCCCTGTGTAATAAAAAAAAAAAAATAATGTAGCCAGCCACTGGCTCACTATCATTTGAAACTAAACTGCACTTTTATTTATTTTTTTCCCCAAATGTGCCCGCCAAAAATTGGGGGGCATCTTGTATGTTGAAAATTGTTGGGATGCTTCATCTAAACCTTAATTTACACATAAACCCTTTTCCCCTTTCCCGATCATTTTCTGTCCTCTTTATCCTACTTTTTCTTTTCCCTAACTCTTTCAAAATAAATTTTACCATAAACTTTACCTTTACTCAAAATACTTTTTCCCTCTAATTTTTAAAATTTTCCCCTTGTCCCCCCTTTTAAAGCCCGTGGGTGGTAAATGAATCGGGCTTAAGCTTGTGTTTTTTTGTTGGGATTGGTTGTCTGTTCCTTATGCCCCTTTTGGTAGATCCATTTTTTTTGAGTTAATTTTTTTTAAAGCCACCTGACTATCTTTCCCCAAAACAAACGTCACCCTCTCATTTGGTTGCCTCTTGCCAAAAAGGGGCAAGGGCACAATTTTTTCATTTTTGAAGATTCCTCTTACTTTATGTATGTGCATAGAAAGAACATGAGTAGTGCCTTAATTTTTATAACTTGCAGGTTTTGGTACCCCTACTGGTGGAAGCCTATTTGGAACAGGTGCGAGTACTCCAGGCTTTGGGCAAACTAGTACGGCACCCAACACAAGCTTTTCCTTTAACACGCAGCAACAACAAAAAAGTACCGGATTCAATTTTGGTGGTACAGCTACCACCACTCCTTCATTGTTTGGGTCCACACCACAACAGCAACAACAGCAACAATCAGGATTTGGCCTTGGTGGATTTCAGTTAGGGCAGAATACCCAGCAACAGGTAGTTTACTGGAAAAAATCATATTGAGTCCTTTATGAATTATTAGGTAGTTTTTCATAGATGTTTTGAGTATATATGGGAGGCTGCATTTGCCTATAATTATTTGCCATAACATCAAGTTATTTGTTTTTCTCTGCATTATTGCTTTTGATTATATCTGTTAATGTTGAAAGGCTCCTAGTCCTGATACTAATGCACTCTGCAGTGTAACACACACAAATCAACCCTATATTTAAGTTGTAGCTTTCATGTAGGTATTTTGTGAAAGAGAAAGCATTTGGTTGCATTAATGATTTTTGAAGAATCATTTTGTTCATTCTGTAATATTAATTTTAATACTCAGTGATGGTTTGACTTGCTTTCAAGTGCCTCTTTTTAATGCTGCTTTGTGTGGAATCACTTTTCATATGCAGAGGACCTGATCAAAATATTGAGGAATATTGGTAGTATAACTATAGGTATCAAGTACAGTAGAATAATCTTGTGGTATACACTAAAACAAATCATTGAAATAATAGCATAAGAAAATAGCTTTATTGTAATTCTGCATTCTGCATATGTATTTACATCTGTAAAGAATAAGATTAGTTAATGGTTTAAGTCGGACTGAAACATCATCATGAGTTTCATTCTTCTGTGTGTGGGTTTTTGTGTATTTACATGTGTTACCAAACTTATTTCAGAATACTGGAGGGCTTTTTGGTAATCAGAACAAGCCAGGGGGATTCCTTTCCACCCAAAATACTGGTGGAGGTCTCTTTGGCAATAAACCAGCAGGCATAACTCCATCTCTTAGTACTGGCTTTGGCAACACATCTGCAGTCACTCCCTTTGGTACAGCTACAAACACAAGCACAGGAGGAGGGCTCTTTGGTGCCCAGAACACTCAAAACAAAACTGGAATCTTTTCTGGATTTAGTAAGTTACATTATTTTTTAAATTGTACTAATTTTATGTAAATGCTTATGTTTTGGAAGTTAAATATTATGCTTGTGCTACTAAAAAACAAGCAAACTGGAGGTGGGAAGTACAGTACCTGCACCTTGAAGGAGAAGTGTTGACATGTTGCAGTTTTATAACTGTAGTGTAGGTGCACCTCTGGCAAGACAGTGATGGAGTGAATGATGATGAAAGTGTTTCTTCTTTTTCGGGTCACCCTACCTTGGTGGGGGGGAATGGCTGAGGTGTTAATAAAAAAATAATTCTACTAAGAATGACTGTTGGAGTTTACTCTTTTATTCCTGAAAAAAAATAGAACAGTAGAGGATTTGGTTGATTATTCTCTGGGTCATTGAAAGACAGGGAGAATTCTTCAGTGTAAGAGTAGACTATGACAGTAAACTGACAACATACTTGTCTCAAACAGGATTTTTTTTTTTTTTTTTTTTTGGTGCTGCACTGGCAGTTTCCTACTGAAGTAAAATGATGACCCAGAGAAAGAATCTGATTTTTTTTTATTTATTATTAACACATCGGCCATTTCCCACCAAGGTAGGGTGGCCACAAAAAGAAAACTTTACCATCATTCGCTCCATCACTGTCTTGCCAGAGACATGCTTGCACTACAGTTATAAAACTGCAACATTAACACTCCTCCTTCACCATTATTTATTCAATAGCTGTCTGCCCAGAAATGTAGGCACCACAATTCAGCTAACCCTCATACATAAATGCAGTATGCAATAATGGTAGAATTTAGAATTACCAACAAAATATTAGGCAAAAGGATGCAGAGGCAACTAATGTGACATTTTTTGTGGCAATGTTTTGCTTCGCAGGTGAAACATCCAGAGTGAAAACATTGCCTACACTAAAAATGACATATTGCTTTCCTGTGTACTTTACCTACCAACTATAATACAGTATGTAATTATCCCATGGTAATATTAACATCAAAAGCAGGCAAACTTCACTGTATAAACTTTAGATACTCTTACCAACTCATTAAAGGGTCACAGCAGCTGGAACTGATGGGATCATGATAGAAATGTTAAAAGCAGGGGGAGCTAGTGTTGGAGTGGTTGATATTTTTTAATAAATGTATGAAAGAGGGGAAGGTAGCTAGGGATTGGCAGAGAGCATGTATAATTCCTATATGTAAAAGGAAGGGGGACAAAAAAGATTGTAAAAATTATGGGGGAAGAAATTTACTGAGTATTCCAGGTAAAGTGTACAGTAGGGTTATTATTGAAAGAGTTAGAGGTAAGACAGAGAGCAGGATTGCCGATGAGCAAGGAAGCTTTAGAATGGGTAGGGGATGTGTAGATCAAGTGTTTACATTGAAGTATATATGTGAACAGTATTTAGATAAAGGTAGGGAAGTTTTCATTGTATTTATGGCTTTAGAAAAGGAATATATTAGTGGATAGGGGAGCAATGTGTTAGATGTTGCAAGTGTATGGAATAGATAGTAAGTTACTAAATGCTGTAAAGAGTTTTCATGAGGATAGTGAGGCTCATGTTAGGGTGTGTAGGAGAGGAGGAGATTACTTCCTAGTAAAAGTAGGTCTTAGACAGGGATGTGTAATGTCACCATGGTTGTTTAACATATTTATAGATGGGGTTGTAAAAGAAGTAAATGCTATTTTTTTCTCTCAACAAGTCAACCGTCTCCCACCGAGGCAGGGTGTTGTTGGGATTAAATTATGAGGAATCGAATATGAAATGGGAGTTGACAGTTACTTTTTGCTGATGATACTGTGCTTTTGGGGGATTCTAAAGAAAAGTTGCAAATGTTAGTGGATGAGTTTGGGAGGGTGTGTAAAGGTCGAAAGTTGAAAAGGAACATAGATAAGAGTAAGGTGATTAGGGTATCAAACGATTTAGATAAAGAAAAATTGGATATCACTTGGAGTGAGGGAGTATGGAAGAAGTGAATGTTTCAGATATTTGGGAGTTGACTTGTCAACAGATGGGTTTATGAAGGATGAGGTTAACCATAGAATTGATGAAGGAAAAAGTGAGTTGTGCATTGAGGTGTCTGTGGAGACAAAGAACGTTATCCATGGAGGCAAAGAAGGGAATGTACAAGAGTATAGTGGTACCAACACTCTTATATGGGTGTGAAGCATGGGCTGTAATTGCTGCAGCAAGGAGGCAGCTGGAGACAGTGGAGATGTCGTGTCTAAGGGCGATGTGTGGTGTAAAATTATGCAGAGAATTTGTAGTGTGGAAATTAGGAGGAGGTGTGGAGTTACTAAAAGTATTAATCAGAGGGCTGAAGAGGAGCTGTTGAGGTAGTTTGGTCATTTAGAGAGAATGGAACGAAGAAGAATGACTTGGAGAGCGTATAAATCTGTAGGGGGAGGAGGGTGGGATAGGGGTCATCCCCAAAAAGGTTGGAGGGAGGGGGGGTAAAGGAGGTTTTGTGAGTGAGAGGCTTGGACTTCCAAGAAGTGTATGTGAGTGTGTGAATGGAGTGAATGGAGATAAATGGATTTTGGGACCTGACAAACTGTTGGAGTGTAAGCAGGGTAATATTTTGTGAAGGGATTCAGGAAAACTGGTTAGCCAGACTTGGGTCTTGGAAATGGGAAGTACAGTGCCTGCACTTCAAAGGAGGGGTTTGGGATATTGGCAGTTGGGAGGGAAGTTTAAGCTGTCGTATCTGAGCGCCTCTACAAAGACGAGGATTATGTATGACTGATGGTGTAAGTGTTGAATGATGAAAGTTTTTTCTTTCTGTTTGGGTTTTTCTTTTTTTTGGGTTTTTCTTTTTTTTGGGTCACCCTGCCTTGGTGGGAAATGGCTGACATGTTAAAAAAAAAAAATTACAGTTTAAAATTTAAGTGTAAAGGCATTGATTATTAACATTAGAAAGTTGGGTAAAGCAGCTTAATTAAGAGAAGTATATTTGTAACTTTTCAGATAGCAACACTGGTTTTGGCAGCACTGGTCTTTTTGGACAGAACAACAACCAACAAAAGCCTGGTGCTGGACTCTCATTTAGTCAGTTTGGAAGCACCAACACCATGGGTCAGAGTCTTGGTACCAACCCTGGAGGTGTTCTCTTCAATCCTGGTGGAGCAAACACTGGCATGGGCATGACTGGGATTGGTCTCCTCAACACCAACACTGGTATACAAAAGCTGTTTTTTCTTGTGTCTTTTCACTTGATAATTGAACCTACATATTGTTTAAAATTATAATACTTAATGTTTTAGAGACTTATTTATTACTTTTATATAAAATGTAATTATTTTTAAATGTTTATCTTTTTTATATATGATTTTTTATTAATTTGCTTAGTGATAGGATGATGTTCACAACCAGAAATGTCAAAATTGGACAGTAAGAAGGAATTTTTTCTGTTATAACTGAAGATAGTTATTGCTAAATAATCAGTATTTGATATATTTAAAATATGCAATGAAGGTTAAATGTATAGCCACTTCTCTTAAGAGTTTTCAGAGGGTATAAGGCATCAGAGATGCAGCTACTTATATAATATCTGAGCTTAGATTCGATTATTTCTGAAATATGACTTTCCTTGTGAGACAGGATATGGATATTATTTTCTTACTCATTTTCAAAGGCTATTAGTAGGATGTTAGAATTAGGCCTGTATGAAATACAAGTTATATATTTCAGGATTTGGCATGCCTCAACTAAATATGATGGGCAATACTGGTGGTGGAATGTTTCCTGATCTGGGTAAACTGGTCAAGGCCATGACTGAGAAACCAATTTTTGACATCCCTTGGGGTAGCAAATCTTCGCCAGTAACAGGTATATGGGAGAGAGAGGGAAATGTATAGGAGAGGAAGGGGGAATGATTGCGGAGGGGAAAAGGAAGGGAAAAAGAGAGTGAACTTCTATAAATTAACTAAAATAAAAATGTTCAATAATAACCCACATGTAGACAGAAACTCAGGAGATTAATTGATCTGTATATTTCGAGTGTGAGCAATATAATATTTTCATTTTAATATTTTGAGTGTGAGCAGGGAAGGGATTCGGGGAAACCAGTTAGCTGGACTTGAGTCCTGGAAATGGTAAGTAGAATGCCTGCACTTTAAAGGAGGAGTTTGGGATATTGGCAGTTTGGAGGGACATCTGAACTGTCGTATCTGGGCGCCTCTGCAAAGACAGTGATTGAATACGAGTGATGGTGAAAGTGTTGAATGATGATAAAAGTTTTTTCTTTCTTTTTTGGGTCACCGTGCCTTGGTGGGAAATGGCAGATGTGTTAAAAAAAAAAAAAAAATTCTGGGATACTCTTCTGCTGAAGAGGATCCCTGAACAAGGTTGGAATATACAGATCAATTAATCTCCTGAGTTGCTGTCTCCATGTGGGTTATTGTTGAGCATTGACAAGTGTTTATTACGCTTTAGTTATAAAATAGATTTTAATCCTGGGCCTAGGGATGTTACAGTCAGAGGGTAATCTGTTTGTGATGTCGGCACACTGTGGAAAATGTGATAGCTGACTGAATGATGAATGTTTTCTTTTTTGGGTCACCCTGCCTTGGTAGGAAATGGCCATTGAGTTAAAATAGTTATTCTAGACTTAAAATTAAGCTATGTTTACATGAAGGTTACCTGAAGGTGATTTCAGGGGTCACTGATCCTGCTGCTCAGTCCCAGACCAGGTCTGGTAGCCTGGTCAATCAGGCTGTTGTTGCTAACTGCACAGACTCCAACGTATGCAATACAGCCTAACTGTGGTGTATGGTGAGAGATTGAGAGTCTATGAGTGCAAGAGTCTGTGAGTGTGAGATTGTGTGAATGCAAGAGACCACAAGTGCGAGAGATCAAGAGTGCTAGAGTGTGCGCTTTTGCGTGTGTGGTGTTTGTGCTTCTGCATGTACGTGAGAGTAAGTTAATTTGTTTTATTGGGTGAAGTGTGTTGAATGTCGTCTGATTACTCTGGAAAGCTATTAATGCATATTTTGATATATTAATATATTTTAACTTTCCAGATAAAACCAACAGCACATCAAACAGTGATGAAGTTAGTTCTAAGTTAGCCAGCTCCAATCAGAAGCCCACTTATGTCCTCTCACCTTCTCTTGTGGCAAATAACAAACCACGGCCTAAGCCCATAAACAAGGCCAACAACCAAGGGTAAGTTTCAGCCTGGTTGGTTATTGCTGTCCTTACTTGCTTGTTCTTTCTTTTGCAGGAAAAATAGAATTAACACACTGACTAGTACAAACATTAGAAATGGAAAGATCACAAAGTCTTTAAGTGGGCAAATGAAAATAATTTGATGTTCATTGGTGTCAAATTCCAACTATTTAGAAACATAAAAAATAGGTCAAAATGACCACAAGATTCACAACACTAGCAGATCATCTCAGAATGAAAAGAACAGGCAAAAGTTTTAGGACTGATGATATCAGATGAATCTCTTGATAAATGAGACACTCGTGCAACATTTGGGCATCTTTATTCTGGACATATTTTGCCAGCCAGTGGCTTCTTCAGTTCAGTGAAGAGAAAGGTGGAGGATGAAGAGGATTTTGAGGTAATCAGTCCCTCAGCCTGGAGTCGATGTGTTCAGTCCATCAGTCTCTGGCTGAGGGACTGATTACCTCATACTCCTCATCTTTCACCTTTTTCTGCATCGGAGTAAAGAAGCCACAGGCTGGCAAAACATTTCCAGAATAAAGATACCCAAATGTTGCATAAGTATTGGCCACAAATTTTTGCAGCTTCATCAGTTTGTTTGAAAATAGGTCATGATTATGATGCAAATTAGCTGGGTTTCCCCATAAATTTAAATATTCTTAAAAACTTAATACATAATTTTGTATTGGACTTGGGTCTTGGAGGTGGGAAGTACAGTGCCTACACTCTGAAGGAGGGGTGGAGATATGTTATAGTTTTTGAACTGTAATATTGACACGCCTTTGGCAAGACAGTGACGGATGGAAAACGGCCATTTTTTTTTTTTTATTTTTTTTTTTAAACGTGTCAGCTGTTTCTCACCAAGGCAGGGTGACTCAAAAAGAAAGAAAAACCCAAAAAGAAAGAACCCCCCCCCCCAAAAAAAGGAGAAAAAAAAAAAGAAAGAAAAACCCAAGAAGAAAGAAACGCCCAAAAAGAAAGAAAAAACTGTATCAGCTTTGAAAAAAACAAGATATTAACAGAATTCATATTACCAAATATGTTCCATGATTTCTGGGCAGACTGACATGTTACGTATGGTGACCCCAATATAACTATACATCTTTGCAGCAAAAATATACACAATCAATATTTTTACTCCTTAACACCACTATTATTTCAGATTAAAAACTATAAGGAACTTTCCCATGTGTTTTTTGTGAGCCTGATCTATTGCTTTGTCCACAGGAATGATCGACATTGGCTGTTCAAGGGACTGGAAGATCCCAGCGAGGAAAGTTCAGAAGATTTCTTAAAGCCCAAGAAATACCCTAGTGTGAGAAAACTAAATTTGAGGGTATTCAAAAGTGTTAAACCTGACACAACCTCTCTAGGCAGTCCAACAACAAGGGAGGATGGTGACTCTAGTGGTGGTAATGCACCATCTCCTCTTACAACTCCTATCAGTCCTCTAGGCGATAACACTCCTCTGCGTCCTAGTGGTCCGCCCTCGCATGATAATTATCCCATGCCTGACATGAAGGTTAGTATAAACAGAATTACACTGTAGGTACAGTACCTTCTTAATTGTTTGATCTTGTTGCATTAATTAATTGTACTATTTAGAAAATGTTTTAAGTGTAGCTTTCCTCTTGATTTTGAAGGACTTTTTTTTTTTATTTTTGTTTGTTGCATCTACAAAAGCAGATGTAACTGTAGTTGCTTGGGGAATTACTAGTGCTTAATACCCTGCACAGATTTAGCACAGGTGTTAGGTACCACTGTACAGGTGGGGCTTGAACTCACAGCAAGTCAGTCATAAAACTGAAGCAAGACAGTGTTAGAGTGAATGACAATGAAAGCATTTCTTCTTTTTTGGGTCTCCCTGCCTTGGTGGGATTTTTTTTTTTTCAACAAGTCGGCCATCTCCCACTGAGGCAGGGTGACCCAAAAAGAAAGAAAATCCCCAAAAAGAAAATACTTTCATCATCATTCAACACTTTCACCTCGCTCACACAGAATCACTGTCTTTGCAGAGGCACCCAGATACAACAGTTTAAAAGCATATAAAACATACCCTCCCAAACTGCCTATCATGCAGAGAATTCATAGTGTAAAAAAATAAAAAATAATTTGATCTAAAATTGTAGGGAGTCTTTTTCTAATGGTAATAACACCAAATTTGTAAAATTTTATATAATATTTAAGGAATTATTACTAAATGTCAAAAGAAAGGCTTTTTTATTTTTTGGGTCACCTTGCTTTGATGAGATAGGGCAGGTGTGTTAGAAAAAAAAAACTTAAGGAATTAGGCAGGTGTGAAGTTGAAGGTCAGGGAGCACTTTATGTATTAGCAATTTTTCCCACTTTGAAACCTCTTTTAGGCTAATTCTAGATGAATTCCAGGCTATTATGCTAGTGCTGTATATATGCCTTTTGCACTATCCATTGATTGCAAGAATCTGCCTATTCACTACATTGGACATTTGGCCAGTTTTACAGTATTTTCAACAAATTCCAGTTGAAGAACAGAGACCAAGACAAACAATGAAGGCCTTCCAGCAACTAAAGAAACATTCTTTCTGTTCAAAAATCACATCTTTAGGCCTCAGGCATATAACTCTTGCCCTCTATTTTGAATCACCACCAAAAAAACAACTTTTTTTTTTTCCCTATTTCTCTGCTAACAAACTACAACCAAAAATACTTATGGTTTATGACATTATAATAAATGAAGCAGACCTATTAAAAGCCTAGAAAACAGACTGAGGTGGTAGGAGATCCCTTCCCTTCTGTAGAAAAATTTCCAAAAATAGACTATTTCTGCCATTTTGAGGTTTATTTCAAGCCACTTCTGGTCTGAAACCAACCAAAATCATCTCCTTTTCACGAGTTCTGTCTTCTGCTGTATCAATTGGCACAAAGAAGTGGCCAATAAAAGCCGGAAAACCAACCTAAGAATTGCCCTAAAGTTGCTGTTTTACCCCTAACACAGGGTCAAAAGTTTGCTGTTCCCGTTTTGAACTGTGTGGAGGCAGGATTGTTGTTTTTAATATTATGCACATCCACCACACAGACCTATTCTCTCATATCTAAGTAAAAATTTGCCATCATTTGCCATATTTGAGGGCACTTTGATTTAGGTGTAGATCTGTGTAAGTGCTTCTGACCCCAATCATGTATGTCTACATGAGCAATCAAGGGTATAATTCAGAGGGCTGATGAGGGGTTGTTGAGGTGGTTTGGGTATGTAGAGATGATAGAGGAAAATAGGATGGTGAAAAGGGTGTATAAATCTGGGGTGGAAGGTAGGATGAGTAGGGGTTATTCTAGGAACAATTGGGAAGAGGGAATGAAGGAGTCTTTGAAGCTTAAGCATCCATCAGGCTTGTTTAAGTGTGTTAGATAGGGTGTTAGTGGAGACAAGTGATTTTTAATGGATATGCTTTTGGAGTGTGGGCAAAATAGCATGTATGAAGGGATTCAAGGGAAACTAAATAGCCAGACTTGAGTTCTGGAGGTGGGAAGGGCAGTGCTTGCACTCTGAATGAGGGGTAGGGAAGTTATAGCTGGAGGGTAATCTGAAATGTGATGTCAGCACACTTTTGGCAAGACAATGACTGAATGAATTATGGTGAAAGTGTTTCCTTCTTTGAGTCACCCTACTTTGGTGGGAGATGTCCAGTAGGGTAAAAAAAAAAAAAAAAAAAAAAAAAAAAAGAGTAATAATATTATAGAAATTACTTTGAAACTGTGTTCTGTAAGAGATTTTCTACTTAATGGGATTCATGGTCTGTGCATTCTATATGGGAACTTAGCAAAATAGAGCATATTGTATTGACTGTGGTAAATTATTTTTATATATTTGAGCAGGTTATATTTGGCAAATACTGTCATTCCATGTTAATTTGTTTCAACATATCTAATGATTTCTTTTACAGGGTAGAAACAAAGTAAAGAGACTTAACTTGGCAGACAAACATGGGCAGATCAATGACACACTAACAGACCTCAATGTTAATCACTTAAAAGTCACAGAGCCTGCTGATGAAAACACTGAGGCTGATGACTCAGCAGACAAAGATAAAAGTCATTTTGATGCAGAAGCCAACAAAGAAAATAATGTCTCCCTTTTCAATTCAGTGGACGAAGACATTCCTGAAATCCTCAACAGGTCCTCGGATAAATCACATCCTGCTGGTGAGTGTACATTATTGCCAGTTGTACATCTGTGAGGTGAAAATGATGTATATGTGTAGTAAGCAAGGTACTATTTTGTTAAGGGATTCAGGGAAATCATTTAGCCAGACTTGTGTCCTGGGGGTGGGAAGTATAGTGCCTACACTCTAAAGAAGAAGGGTTAGAGATATTTACTGTTTGAAGGGACATCTGAACTGTTGTATCTGATTGCCTCTGGTAAAACTGGTAGTGTGAATGATGGTGAAAGTATTTCTTTTTTTTGGGTCATCCTGCCTTGGTGGGAGACAGCTGATGTGTTTAAAAAAATGTAATGAAGACTATCTTTACTCATGAGTTACAATCCAAAAATCCTTAAGAGGTAACTTGTATCTTCTGCATGTCCCTATCTACTGTATTTAAAAATTATTTTTTTTTTTTAACAAGTTGGCCGAGGCAGGGTGACCCAAAAAGATAGAAAATCCCAAAAAGAAAATACTTTAATCATCATTCAACACTTGCACCTCACTCATACATAATCACTGTTTTTGCAGAAGTGCCTAGAACACAACAGTTTAGAAGCATATACGTATAAAGATACACAACATATCCCTCCAAACTGCCAATATCCCAAACCCCTCGTTTAAAGTGCAGGCATTGTACTTCCCATTTCCAGTACTCGAGTCCGGCTGTATAAAAATAACCGGTTTCCTTGAATTCCTCCTCACACTCCAACAGCTTGTCAGGTCCCAAATACCATTCGTCTCCATTCACTCCTATCTAACACGCTCGTGCATGCTTGCTGGAAATCCAAGCCCCTTGCCAACAAAACCTCCTTTACCCCCTCCCTCCAACCTTTTCGAGGACGACCCCTACCCCACCTTCCTCTCCCTACAGATTTACATGTTCTCCATGTCATTCTCCTTTGATCCATTCTCTCTAGATGACCAAACCACCTCAACAACCCCTCTTCGGCCCTCTGACTAATACTTTTATTAACTCCACACCTCCTAATTTCCACACTCTGAATTCTCTGCATGAAGTTATACCACACATTGCCCTTAGACAGGACATCTCCACCGCCTCCTTGCTGCAGCATTTACGACCCAAGCTTCACACTCATATAAGTGTGTTGGTACCACTATGCTTTCATACATTCCCTTCTTTGCCTCCATAGATAATGTTTTTTGTCTCCACATATACCTCAGTGCACCACTCACTAAAGTTAATTTATGTACTTAATATACATGTATCTCTTCTGGCAAGACCAATTGAATGAATGATTGTGAATGGATTTCATTATTTTGGGTCTCCTTACCTATGTGAAAGACAGCAGTTGCTGCTACAGTGTGTCTTAACTTTATGATCTGGGGGGGCCATAGAGAAACCTGATTCTAAAAGGATTACCTTAATACAGATAATTGTCTGATATCTAATTTGATATAATACTCTAGAACAAGATGTTGGAGGTTAGAAGGGTGGTGCCACCACTCTGGAGGAGGGGTGGAGATGTCGAGGTTAGAGGGTAATCTGATTGTGATGTCATTACACTTCTGGAAAGACAGTGATTGAATGAATGATGGTGAATGTGTTCTCTTTTTGTCACTTCACTGGCACAGCACAGCAGGGAGAGTGGTGGCTTGGTAATTTAGGCTTTCAGTCAGTGGAGGTTTAACATTTGGTTTTTCCAGGAAAATTAAAAATTCTCATGGTTTACACAATTACATTGTATGTGCTGTACATTAAAATGATCAAAAAGCTTTAAATACCATTGTAACATGTATAATTCTTTGCTTTTTATATTACTTACTGGAGATAATGCAGTATGACTTGAGTTTAGTCTAGATTTTCTATTTAAATATTTTTATTGTTGTCAAAGAAATTTCTTAAGTGAATGTATTTAATTTGCCAACGTTTTTTTTTTTTTAATTCTTAGAGTAAGGGCAATTGTGCTTTTTATTTGCAGGTGTCAAGTTAACTCGCTCTGGTTACTACACACTCCCTTCCTTGGAGGATCTGGGAGAAATGGTGGATTCTGAGGGAAGATGCCTTGTGGAAAACTTTACCATTGGAAGATATGGCTATGGCAATGTGTGTTTTCTGGGTGTGACAGATGTGGCTGGCCTGGACTTAGATGCAGTGGTGTTTATCCTGAGGAAGCAGATAGAGGTGTATCCAGAGGGCACTCAGAAACCTCCTCAGGGCCAGGAACTCAACAAACCTGCTGTTGTAAGCATGATTGATATATTTAACCTCAGTACACTCAATTTAGTGGACCAAGGGGATAATGGGTGGTTGGTAATGGCAGTTGTGGTAGATAGGGATGAGATAATTTTTCTCTGATCATAACAGTAATGGACTTAATCTATTGTTTCTGAATTGACTGACCCAGAGGATTTTGTCCCTTGTTTCCAAAATCTGTTGAATTGAAGCCTGTTAATCAAGGGCTTACTGTATGACATTTGGTATTTGTGGACTATTTTCATACATGTTGCTATGACAAGACAGTGGAACGTCTAATAGTAAAATGTAATATGCATATAACACACAGAATTGATGAAGGAAAAAAGGTGAGTGGTGCATTGAGGTATCTGTGGGGGCAAAGAATGTTATCCGTTGAGGCAAAGAAGGGAGTGTACAAGAGTATAGTGGTACCAACACTTTAATGGGTGTGAAGCATGGGTTGTAAATGCTGCAGCGAGGAAGCAGCTGGAGGCGGTGGAGATGATGTGTCTAAGGACAATGTGTGGTGTAAATATGAGTTAAAGTAAAGGGTTGTTTAATATATATTTATAGATGGAATTGTAAAACTAGTGAATGGTAGTGTTGGGGAGAGGTGTTAGGTTTTAAAAAACAAGGAATTAGGTATGAAGTGGGAGTTGTCACAGTTGTTCAATTCTGATGACAGTGCTTTTGTTAGATTCTGAAGTGAAATTGCAAAGGTTGGGGGAGGAGCTTGGAGGCATGTATAAAGGAAGAAAGTTGAGAGTGAAGTGGATGTTTTGATGTTTTTTTCAGTAAGAATGGATGAAACAATAGTTTAACCAAGAAGGGTGCATAAATCCAGGTGGGTGGAGAGAGGGGTAGGGAGATGTTAGACTGGAGTGAGTGGAGATAAGGGATTTTGGAGATTTGATGACCTGTTGGGGTGTGAGGAAGTAACACATAAAGGCATGTGGGAAAGCTGATTACCTAGACTGGAGTCCTGCACTCTGAAGGAAGGGTGGGGATGTTGCAATTCAGAGCCATTTGCAGTGTGATGCTTGTGAACTACTGACAGAACAGCTATTAAATATTGGATAGTGATTGTTTTTCTTTTGGTCACCCTATCTAGGTAGGAAATAGTCATTGTGATAAAAAATGTCAGTATGAAAGAGTATAGTAGGAAGACTCATGAAACTGGTCACAGATATCTAAATGCTAGAGATAATTTTTTCTCACTCTTTTATTGAGGTAGTAACAATGTATACTTAGTTTAATCATTCATTAAATTTTCCATGAAGCTTTGAGGTAATTTAGCTATTTTTTAATTTCCTCTTTCAGATTACTCTAGACTGTGTATGGCCAGTTGACAAGACCACTCGTGAGGTGATAAAGTCATCTGATCGTCTGCAGAGCATGGCTTGGGGTGACTATCTCGAACGCCAGTGTGTCAAGATGGAGGCCACTTTTCTAGAGTATCGCCCAGAAACTGGATCATGGGTCTTCAAGGTACCAGGATTTTAGTGTTGATATGGATTGCTGTAATTTGAGTATAGTGACTTGTACAGGGTGGCATTTGTGCACATTTATCTGAAAGTATTTGTGCCCTCTTGTACATTAAGAGTTGGGGATGTGGCTGTTCAGATGGTCATTTGAACTGAAGTGTCCTCACACTCTTGGCAAGACTTATTGAATGATTGAGGGTGAATGTTTTTTCCTTCTTTCAGTCACCCTACCTTGGTGGGAAATGGTTGATGTAAAAAAAACTGTTGGGAAGCATGTGAGTAGTCATTGTAACAGCCATATTGATTAGTTACTGGTAATCCCATCAGGTGCAAGGCACTGATAGTGTGAATGATGGTGAAAGTGTTTTTTTCAGGTCGCCCCTGCCTCGGTAGGAGATGGCCAGCATATTTAAAAAAAAAATCAGGTGGCAATTACTCTCAATTTTTATCATTAAACATCATATGGCTCAAGTTGGTTTAAATTTTTGTTCTTGCAGTATTCTATTCCTTGTTTTTAAGTTCTCGTTTTATTGCCAACTGTATTTTATGTAGTTTTCAGTGACAGATGCTTTAAGTGGTGATTCACACTAGATCTGAATCTCCCATTGATGATTTTTTCTGGTAATAGAAATCTTGATTGTTTTTAATTAAAATCACTATTTTTATCTTGCATGTCTCTGATAGTGGTAATGATTATTATTATTTTATAGAAAATGCAATACTTTATAGTGTGTGTTGTATATATGAGTGACTTTGTTTATATAAATTTGTTGAGTTAATGTGAAGAGTTTAATGTGATTTACTTATTTTTCTGCATATTTATAAATTACAAAAAATTACCTACAGGTTATTTTTTAATACATATGGGTAATCCCCACTTAACAAAGGAGAGGTTTCCAAAAAGACCATGCAAAGCAAACTTCCAAGAAATGAATTTCACATTATGAAGATGTGCTCTAGTGGAAGAAAGTGCAGACTTATTTAAGTGTAGGAACATGGAAATTAAAAACAAAAGTAGAGAAGCATTTGTGTAATGAGTTAGTCACAGTATGGTGCATTATGTAAAATTGACCCTGAGCTTGTTCTGTTCCTGGAGCAGAGAACAAGAAGGGCTGTGATCGCAGTGTATACCTCTACACTGGGGCATAGACAGGGTAGAAAAGACTCATGAAATCGTAATAAAATAATTGCAAACATTTCGTAAGTAATGATGGGGATTTAAGGGGACTTGAGTTAGAGTATGCCACAGCCACACTGGTGTGGGATTCATTTGTAAAATCTGCATTTGTGGTTACAGTGGTGGCCCATGCTAACTTCTCTATGGTGTATATAAATATACCTTAATTGGATGAATTATATTAGAGCCAGCTGGCCCAGTGGTTGACACACTGGCTTGTGAGTTTTAGGACTCGCTTGCCATGGGTTCATATCCCATCCATTCTGTGATCAGGTAGACAAGGATAGGTTTAATAGTAGGGATGAACCATAAAGAAATTCTTCAACTATATAAGCCCCAGGAAGACCCTCAATTAATTCTCAAGTGTAAGTGGTAGGGAAATAAAATGAACTGTAATTGTCCTGGCATTACATTATGTAGGTCATATGTCTAAGCAAGTATGTACCATATATACTGCTATAACCCACAGGTTAACTATCTGTAAAGATTTTGTCAGTATTTTCTAATATCGCTTGTGATAACACAACAATGAACACTAGATTCAAAAGTTAATCTCACAAATTTTTTTTTTCTCCCCAACATATTCTGTAGGAGCTTATTTCAGTAATGTTAGTATATATTAGTAAATACCTGTTCCCCACTCCAAAATGCTTAAATTGAAATGTAGGAGTGTGATAAAAGATAAATAGATTTTTATTTTCTGCTTAAACAAAATGAGAATAGATTCAACCATTAATTTTATTTTTATTGAAGAGAAATGCTGTTCAAGCACAAGGCTTTATTGTTGGGAATTTTCCACCCGCAAATTTTCCACCCGCAAATTTTCCACCTCGCAAATTTTCCACCTCGCAAATTAGAAGTGAAAACCTGAGGATGTTTTGATTAATCTTAGACCACTGGTTGTGAATTTTTCCAGCAGCCATATTGTGGATTTTTTTTAATATATAGTGCACCAAAACATATGTCTACTTAACCCATCACAGTGGGAAGGAATGGTGAGAGGTCAGGTTATGGGATCATCAGGTTAACCAAGCTCTGGATAAGGTTTGTTCCAGTCAGAATATTGTCTACAACAACAAAAAAATTCCACTCTGGAATATTTCTCTAAATGTTTTGTGTGTGTTAGTGTGAATGATTTTTATATTGAGGTATAGTTCTACTTTGATTGTTAGTGTGCTTGTATAAAATGTTTTATTATTTGGAGCATTGTTTGACCTCATTATTCGACAGGCATTGTAAATCTTTACAACAGCTTTCCTTACATTCTCTAAATGTTGGTAGACCTTGCCCTATTTTTTCTTAAGATTTGATAGGTGCAAGTCACAGCATTTTTTTGTAGTGTAGATAATCTAGTTTTAGATTTTTAATAAAAATCTTTATTTATCTGTGTTCTCTTAAGTGTTTAGAAATATTAAATTACTATTTTGCCACCTTGTGTATAATGTAATTAATTATAATTTTTATCCTTTTCCTTTTTTTTACAAATGTTATTTTGACTTTTTTTATTGGTTTCATGTATTGTTGCAAAGGAAAATATTAAGACATGACAGGAGAAGCCTCAGTAAAGTGGGAATTGTTGGTGAATATGAGGTGTAGAAACTGCATCAGTTTTTGTCTGTTTATTTTTCTGTTTAGCACAAGTTGGGAGCTTAGTCATGGGGCTTTTTAATGTGCAGGAGTTACTTCATACTTTATTTTTAAACTGTACAATAATAAGTTCAGAATTAGACACATGTGCAACTCTTGGGTATCTTTATCTCCTCAATAAAGATACCCAAGAGTTGCACATGTGTCTAATTTAACAACGTGTCGGTTCTTTGAACCATTCATCTACAAAAAGTTCAGAAGTTGTTTTATTAGATATGTATAAGTAGTATTATAGCATTCTAGTAGATGACTTCAGAATTGATGAAAATTTAGACAGATGTGAAACATCTGGTTATCTTTATTGTAGATGTTTCACCATCCAGTGGCTTTATCAATACAAATTCAAGGCCATGAATGGAAGACAGAATATATACAAAAGATGAGGTAATCACTCTCTCAGCCTTGGAGTTGGTGTGAAGACCACCATAGTTGCGAAGAATCTGGAGCACAGGCAAGAAGGCTGGCATGTATAAACTGGCGCCAGGTGGAAGGGGATGGGTAGCAGACGAGGACACTGGTAGGTGGGATTCCCCAGTGGAAGTAGGTCATACCCAAGGGACAGGTTTGTGGTGGTAGTAGTTGTAGTAGCCATGAAGGTCATGTAGATGTCCTCTGAACCAAGATGTGATGATGTTGCAGGGTCTGACAAGTTGTACATGAATAGTAGACAGTACCGACAAGATGAAAATTAAGACACTTGTGCAATATCTGGGTATTGTCGGTACTGTATTCCATTCATGTACAACTTGTCAGACACTGCAGCATCATGGAATCTTGATTCAGATGACAACTACATAACCTTCTTCATGGCTACTACAACTACTACCACCACTAGCCCTTCCCTTGGGTATGACCTCCCTCCACTGGGGATCCTGCCTACCAGTGACTATGCCCTTGTTTGCTACCCGTCCCTTGGCGAAATGTCTACGATAAAGATACCCAGATGTTGCACATGTCTTAATTTTCATCTTGTCAGTACTGTATACCACTCATATATGACTTCAGAATTGCCTAGCTTTAAATAAGGTTAATGTGCTTGGGTTCTAGAGAGCTCAAGAAGGCAGATTTCATTACATTGTAGCCTTTATTATATTTAAATATGTAAATGTATTTTTCCTGTGATAATATGTGATATTTTAATTAATTAGAAATCTCTCTATCTTTACTCTTAATAAAATATTTAATTGTAACTGTATATCAAAAAAGACAAAATTATTGTTGGAAATGGGAAGAATATGCTGAGCAATAGAACAGATTAAGCAATAAAATGTGGAGTAACTGGATAAGGAACACTGATGCTGGAGTTACTGGATAAGCACCACTTAGACAAGAAAAACTGATGCCTGGATTAACAAAGCTTGATGCCTGGATACGCAACTGATTTTTGTTGTCATTGGATAAGGAACACTGATGCCAGTCATTGGATATACAACACTGGATAGCTAACACTGGAGCTAGTCACTATATGAGTAACACTAATGCCAGAGTCATTGATTAAGGAGCCATATAATACCAGAGTTACTGGATAAGGATCAATATGGTGTTGGAGTCACTGGATAAGGAGCATTACAATGTTTGACTCATTGGATAAGGAGCATCATGATACACAAATAACTCACATGTAGGAGAAAGAAAATTATGACGACATTTTGGTCTGACTTGGACTATTAACTAGTAACACACTAACATGCAGAGGTAAGGGAGCCAGTATATATATGAGAGGAGGGCAGGGACAGGAGAAAGAGGCAGAAAAATAAAAGAATGAAATGGTGATAGTACTGGAAGAGGCAGTGCAGGTAAACAGCACTGTGAATCCTGTTTGAAATACAGCCTCTCCTCACTTAACGAAAGAGTTTCATTCCTGAGACTACGTTGTTAAACGAATTCGTCGCTTAATGAGGAGCATACTATAGTGGTAGTGAGTTCATGTCAGCTATCTTTGATATTGTTTTAATGTCACCTTTGCACTATTTATAACATTTCTGGTATATTTTTAAATGTTTACACAGTAGTGTACTGTATATTGAAATAAACAGAATAGAGGAAACCAGCTCTAATATACATTATTTACATATGATTACAAGTCAGAGAGCCCGTCGTAAGTCCGAGGCGTCGGTAAATGAGTACGTTGCTAAGTGAGGAGAGGCTGTATAACTATTGCTTTATGAACTGTGGCCGCA